AGGTGATGGTAAATATTTTGTCACACTCTAATATAGGTAGGATAATTTGATTTTTAAAGAGTTTAACCGTCAGGCTTACTTACGAGTGAAATTTATACACATCTCATATGTCAGGAACAGTTACCCTTAGGAGAATTGTGACAATTATCAGTCTTTTGGAAGGAGTCTAACCTACGCGTTTGCGATGCCGGTGCAGTGCTCTTGCCTGACAAGAAGGAGCGGTTTGGTTTTAATGTGTGTTTAAGTGTATTTAACTGCCAAGTGACCGATGGTTGATAATTTTTCTCAACTGTTCGTGGCTTGCATGAATTATAGATGTGTATTATACTTCTATTCCGTGACTAAGAATCCCAACCCTTTGAAATAAAGTGCCACAAAATTTTAATTGATTTATCCTTCTTAATTTAACCTAAGTAAATATTATCATTCCTTTGTATCGTCGTTTTGAGACAGCGCGATTGGGCATATAAAATTTATGATCTATAATTTTTCAATGATTATACTTCAGAATATTTAACACTAATTTGGTTCACTATACCTTTAAATGAGTGCAAGATGGAGTTTGTGTTTAGAAAATTAAGAAACATGGCAAATAACAGCTATTTTATACAGCTATTTAAAGAGTCTTTGTTGCTATAACGACAGTTGCAAAATATAATTACTGCAAAGTGCAAGGCTTTTTGATCTTGCGGACAAAATAGTTATGTATAGTTACGGGCAGTAGCCATGCATGTTTTGTAGTTTTGATCGCTTTCCTAAGGAAATGACCCAGTTGAAAATACCTCAAAAATACGCTTTACCAGTTGACAGTTTGATGAAATATAAAACGAGCAAACCAATAAAGTCGATACATTACTAGAATTCTGCGCCTTGCGTGTTTTAATAACTCAAATCTTGATTTGCAAGATGATGTTATTCGTAGATTGTTTCGTTTTATATGAAAATATGCTTACTTGGGGCTATTTTGCGCTTATTGGGAAGAGAAATACTTAAAAAGCAGCGTCCAAAATAAACTCAAGAAACACACAAGATATGTACACATTAGCGTATATAATACAGTCTGTGAAATATTTCTGGCGCTTTCGACTCAAGGTTCTTCTTTATTAGAGCGCCTCATATTTTAAATACGCATTCTTTTTACAATTAACTACGAGCAAATGAACTTTACAATTAACGAATAGATTGGAATGCTACTCTCGTGTCAATAATGTAGTGACAATTTAGCTATGGTACATGCAGCGTACAATTTCCCGAAAGTCGTGGGGGAGTTAACACTTGCAAACATAAATTCGTTTATGTTACAGTACCTCAATGCTGATTCCAGATTCCGTTTAAACAAGCGCATCAGTTACTTTTTAGCTGGCAGTGTAGACTTGTAGCACCACTTTTTCCACGTCTTAATATCTTCCCCGCCAAATTCACCGGCGCAGAGACGTAATCCAAACACTGATTAGATTCAATCTATAGCAGTTGTTAGTAAAGATTTTATATAAGAACTAGAAGTTACTATCGCAAGTGAAGTGCTGCCTCAAAGTGTGGGCAGATTTGGGTAATTTTAGGGGAAAATTATGTGACCAAAATTTGAAAAATAGTTATGACTTCCCTAATAGAAAATTTTTTATCATATACCTTTAAATACAATAAAGTTCAATACACATACGTATAACTCATCTGGAAATATTTCCAAAGGCTTTCAACCATAGATGTATTAGAATTTACATAAAAGGTAATAAACCTACTTTAATTCCGCATTCACCACACCAATGGATATATCAGATATACATATATATATATATATATATATATATATATATATATATATATATATATATATATATATATATATATATATATATATATATATATATATAATAATTTATCATTATTATTTTGTAACTATGAAAACAGATATAAGCATGTCAGATTGAAAACAAAATAGGATAATGATTTAGTACCAACATAGTACTTTAAAATTACTATATCTGGTTATGCAATTTTGATGTATGATCACTGAGAAGTGTTTGATTCATATTTTGCTAGATGTTACGGTTTTTAAATTATATTTTACTTATTGTAACATATAACGATATAGAAAATAATGATATCTATAAAAAAGCAACTCATACTTTTGACAAAAATATGTGGCGAAATTGAGAGAATTGTATGAATATAAGGGAAGTAGGGAATTTATCTAATTTCCATGTTATCCAGATATTAGTGATATAAAAAATTAATAATACCCGCGATTTAGAATAAATTGGAATAAAATGTTATTCTTTATTATTATACATGAATGAAATTACATTTCACTTATGATATAATAGGTACCGAAATTGATATTTGTATACCGATTTTCAGGTATTCTATCAACTTAACTGGTTTTAGAAATGATATACTGTACGTATATGAATAAAATTCAAGTTCTGTCCGTGGTAAGCGAGCACATGTGACCCGATGGCCTGTAAACAGAATTTACAGTTCCGTTCGCATTTTATCTACAATCATTAAATCATCCGGAAACAAACAAAATGTCAGTTCAGAAACGACTAAAACGACATTTGCTTCATCAAATAATCTAGTAGCTTATTAGTCTTAGTTTTCGTATGAATTATTCTAAAACTTTGTAGTGGGGCCCACTCGGTTTTGGTTACTCTTCGACGACTCACTTCGGTTGGTGTACAAATTACAAAAGCAATAAATCGTCGCTAGTCCACATACATCCGAAAAGACGTCTGGAGAAGAGTTTCCACAAGAATAGGAAAGCTGCCTAAAGTCAGCAAATATGTGTTCAATCGAAGAGGCATTTCAAATTGGTTATATTAGGTTATGAATCGTTACGAGACGACCAACAAGAGGTGATTGAAGCCTACTTAAATGGTAAAATGTTTTGTTTTTATAAACAGCTGGGTTGTGTACAGCTGCTTCAATGAAACACAGAAACACTGGTTTTCTTTCTTTTAGTTCAGCATTAACATTCTTCCATGTAAAATTTTTCAGATAATCTTTGGTTGTTTGACGTAGCAACGATGGTTTCCTTTTGCCACACTCGTTATACCTCGGGTTGACTTCGTTTTTCAAAATACCGATGCGCATAAGAGCTGAGACGATTGTTTTTGGATTACCGATTGCTAACTCTCTTGTAACATTGTACTATTCCGTTGATAGGGAAACTGTTTTTGTTGCACAGTTTGGGTAATTGAGTATAAACTATTAAAAATGTCGCATTATACAGATTTAGGGCCTGTTTACATGGAGCGAGTTATTCCGGCTAAAGGTGAAAACTGCATATAATGAAAGACTATATATCTAATCAGGTTAAGCCTTTTATATGATGCGCTCATAAAAAACAGGGTCTATCGAGATTGCTAAAATACATCGAAAAATACATAAACTCCCTTTGCTATTTGCTTGTGATCAAAATGTAATTGGTACAAATTATATTGTTGCAAAATATGATCTATTTTAGTAAAGCTCTATATTGTACACTATAAACATAACTTCCATGTAATAGAAACATACCTTTACTGAAGAAAATCTATCTGGTGTTTCAATAGGATCTGTTTGTGTCGTTCGTTCATTTGTTCGCAGAATGGGATCAGTCGAAACACTGTCACTTGCGATGAAAATGAAACCCGCCTTTTCATCGGATTTTTAGACGACCCTAAAGCCGGTTTTCCACTAGCGATATTTTCGCGCGAAGCGACTTTATTCCTTTGTATTTGAGCACTTTGTTCCAGATGGTTGCAGTTGAGAGCTCTGGAACAAAAGTAAACTGTCGATTCGTGCGAAAAATATCGCTAGTGGAAAACCGGCTTAACTCTGCGTCTTCATTTCTCTGCGGGTTTTGTTACGGTTTCTGATTGTTTTTCGCTCAAGTGTAATTTGGTTACGCTAAATTGTTCTCTTGCAGCGTCAAGTTTAGATATTAAACGCATATTTTTGTCAGCGCAGATACGACAGATTATACTTGATAAACAACTTTCTTCATTAATAACTTCTCTTGCAACTCTCTCGAAATTCGCGCACGCCAAGGACTTTACTGATCCATTGAATAATTTTCACCGTTTCAATGTTTTTTCCGCGCTGAATACAAATATTCTCTGTACAACGGACTCTAGAATACGTTTTTGTTGGAGTTAGATTCATTTTTATTTTAATTTGAACATTGATATATAGTTTGCAATAATTTATGTCAATTACTAGAACTGTGAAAAATGTCACTTCCAATTTACGCGCCAGAATAATTAATTAGAATGAAAATTATATGCAGACGAAACAAGTCTGCCTCCTCCCACCGCCCTCACCCTATACCATTCCTAGAACTCCTAAGCCTAAAATACTGTGAGGCGGACTTGGGTATGCCTACCGTGGCCGTCAAAAGTATGAGTCAAATTCCTTAATCTACAATACATGATATCTTATGAGTTGGAGATTGGATATCAGATATGTTGATCTCAACTTGCGTATTTTGTGATAGTAATGCCTCCCATAGAATTCTCGTTAATTCCCATGGTATTTAAGTTGAATAAGAAAAGCGTATTAATTATTCTTTTTGTGGACCAAAGATGGCAGAGAGAGCCAACATTGCTAGGATGTCTCAAAAATTTACAGAAATTGAGATGAGGTTATATGTATATCGAACAAAAAGTTGGACACGTTTTGTGAATCAGGCTAGTATTGAATTAAATGAAAATCTGCGAGACCAAGATCCTGCAAAGGAAAGTAGAAAGAAAACCAGTGGACCATCCTTAATCAATGGTGGAATAGAATTGTATGATTCAACACAAATTGGCACTGTTCTAATATTTTGTATGACCTCTTTTACGTTTCAAAACAGTTTTGAGTTTTGTTGGCATTGGGTGAACCAGTTTTGTGAGCACTTCTGGTTTAATTCTACTCCACCATTGATTAAGGATCAACATATCTGATATCCATTTTCAAACTTACAAGATATATAGTGTATTGTAAAAAATTAAGAAAAAATATCGACTGGACTCAGACTTTTGACCCTCACTGTAAGTTGAACAAAAATATAATCAAAATTATAACGTCACAGAAAACTCAAGTCGAATAAAAATATACAGTAATCATGTAACAAGAGGTAAATCATAATACAAATGCATTATTCTAGGTCTGGTCTTGGCATTTCATTCCACGGAATTTTCCAACATAAGACCTCGTCATCTTGATCGCCAGGCTTCTCATAAACCAACTGCTCATTTCAACATAGCGAAGCGAATACTCGTGAATTCTAATGCTTCATTTAAAACCGTGATATATCGATACGCCTCGTATTTCTTTTGAAACATTTTGTGTAAAAAGTAAAATGGCCACTGATGGGCAACATTGTCCTCACGATAACTATCGGTCCAGCCCAAGACTTTTAAAATGAAGCTACTCAACTGACGGCCTCTCCTTCGTCGCGGTATTAAAAGTAATTCAAGTATTTTCCGTCCTTGATAACATATCTTTCTTACGAGTTTACTTTTTACTTCCAATGTGCATAACAGCTTATGAAAATCATCACGTATTTCAGAACATTTTGATAAGTCAGGAATATCTAGTTTGAACTCTTCGTCTCTATGTTCTGGTAGTGTATTATAATAACCTGGGCAACCAGTTAAAAGGTTATTTTCACTTTCAAAATGCGAATTTATTTCTGTATCCATTGGACGGTACAAGTAATTGAATACTATGATATTCATGATCTCGCGATCAGGGTATTGGGCAGGAGGCACATTGTCATCACCGAAATCCAATTTCATGTAGTTTCCACGTCTCTTTACTTCATGTGGCTTTGCTTCTTTCCAAATTTCGTCAGCAGACTTATCCCATTGATTACCACTTTTTAAAAATGTCATTATGTCATTTATATATATATCATAAGTTTCCCCAAACCAGCTTTCTTCAACAATTCCTTCATTCAGGACACTCTCGTAAAAACGAGCTAAAAATATTGGATCAATCCCGTGTTTATTGATGCAGTTTATAGGCAAATTCGGAAGAAACTTGGAAGCCTCTTTGTGCACGTATTTTAGCACAGACATCCCCTTCACTGCTGCAATGTGTAACAGAGATAGTCCATCTAAGCTCGAACCACATAGTAATTTGGATTCCGGATTTGCGCCAAAAAATGTTCGCAACAAGAGCTTAAATATCCTTCGGCGATATTTTGGCTTCCTACTAATCACTTCATAATTAGCTTTTCCTAAATTTAATATAGAAATATAAAGAGCAGTAAGCCCATTTCTTGCTTTCAAATGCATGTTCGCTCCTTTACGCTGAAACCATTTTAGAGCTTCAAAATTTCCTCCTTTCGCGGCCATGTGTATGGGTAAATATCCTTCGTCATCGTAACATTCATTCAATATGCGAGCACCTCTAGGGTGATGGTCTAGTAAACGCTTTAAAGGAGACTGTTTTCCATTTTGTGAAGGTTTAAAGAAGTTACCAAAATTACCGGATTCTGGTACATATGAGATATAATGCAGCTCTGACAAGGAGCTTGGTATATCACATTGGACCGAAACATTCACCTCGAACATTTTTAACACTTCACTCACTTGTTGTCCTCCATTTTTCATATGTTTTAAAAAGTTGGAGTTCGATTCATTTTCCATTCGACAATTTATATCCACACCACTATTCAACAGAGCATATAAACTCAGTGGCATACGTTTTGTAATCAGAAGATGTAATATATATGAAGTTTCATTATCGCATCTGAAAATTTTTGATTTCCGTGATGAGATTAAGTATCTAACGATTTCATCGTACGGTGTTGTTTCGCAAGACGTGAACACGCCGTCATTTGTAGTGTAGCAGCGGTGATCTAAATGGGATTTAACGAAATCTACAGGAGAGGATGACAGCGTAATCAACAGGGGAGTATGGTTTAACATGTTTCTAATGTTAATATCAGCACCAACTCGCACAAAATACTTGACAACGTTGGCAAGTCCATGAGACGCTGCATGATGCAGAGGTGTATTTCCGTTTTCATCTTGCTCATTAAGGAGTAAATATTTATTTCTTTTTAAACTTGGTATGATTTGCAAAGCCTTCTCAAAGACAATCTTCACCACTTTTGCTCCAAATTCGTTTGCAAAAGATAGAATAGGAAATCCAAGATGACGGAAATTGATAAATGAAGTAAAAGAAAAATTCGATTTGAAATTTTTATCTGAAGAATTCAAAAAAATTTTTAACACTTCTTGAAAACAATTATTTTGATACTTCTTACTTGTCGAGGAAAACTTGTTGAGCAAGTCTGATTCCACTTCTGAACAATTATTATCCCCCAAACATAATATAGAAAGACGAAGAGCATTGACGCTGTCTCGTTCTTTAAGGTACGCGTTGGCTCCAATTTCTTTAAACCACTTTAAAGCATCAAGATTTCCACCCATGATAGCATAGTGTATTGGTAAATATCCACTCGCATCGTAACAATCACTTAATATACGAACACCTTTGCGATAACGATAAATCAATCTTTGTAAAGGCGAACGCTTACCATTTTGAGAGGGTTTAAAGAAATTGCCAAAATTATCACTTACTGGTAAGTAAGCAATAAGATGAAGCTCTGACAAAAGGAAAGGTTTTCCACATTGGACTAAAACATTTACTCCAAACATTTTCAGCACCTCACTTACTTGTTGCCCACCTTTTATTATATGTTTCAAAAAGTTAGAGAATGATTCATTATTCGTTTGGCAATTTATGTCGACGCCATTTTTCAAAAGCGCATACAAACCTAGCGGCATACGTTTCCTAATCAGAACATCTAATATAAATGCATTCTCATCGTGACATCTTGAGATTCTTGATTTCTGTGACGAGATTAGGTACCCTACGATGAAATCGTAGGGCGTGGTCTCGCAAGAGGTGAACACACCGTCACTTGTGGTGTAGCAGTGATGTTTCATCTCAGATTTAATGAAATTAGGAGGAGCACCTAGGAGTGCAGTCAGCAGTGGCGTTTTGTTGAACCTGTTCCTAATATTAATATCACAACCAACTTCCACAAGATATTTAACAACATTTTCAAAACCGTGAGACGCTGCATGATGAAGTGGTGTATTTCCGTCTGCATCTTGCTCATTGAGAATCATATATTTATTTCTTTTTAAACTCGGTATGATAGCTAAGGCTTTCTCGTACACAATTTTCACCACGTTTACTCCAACTTCGCTTGCAAGGGATAAAATAGGTGGTTCAGGATTACGAGAATTGTCAAACAAAACGGACGAAAAACTTGTACTATAATTTTTTCGCGAGTATTCGAAAAAAGTTCGCAATATTTCTTCAAAACATTCAATGCGGAAGTTTGCGAGATCGTTCAAGGAATCGGTATAGGCACTACGACAATTACCATCTCCTAAACAATGTATAGAGGACTCAATAGTAGTCAAACCATTTCTTGTTTCAAGCAGCAAGTTCGCTCCAATATTTTTAAGCCATTTTATGGCATAAAGATTGCCACCTTGAATAGCATGGTGCAATGGTAAAAATCCTTTATCATCGTAACATTCGTCTACTATCCGAACACCTCTTGGATGACGGTCAATAAATTTTTGTAAAGGTAAACGCTTCTGATTACGAGCTTTAAAAAAATTACCAAATTCACCGGGCTTTACAAAGTAGGCCATTTGGTGGAGTTCTGACTCGTAAAAAGAAACCCCACATTTTAGAGAACCATCAACTTCAAACATTTTCAGTAATTCTGTCATTTCCCAACCACCAGTAAATAAATGAAATAACATTGGAGAAAAATCATCATGTAGTCGACAGTTCCAATCAACGCCAATATCCAATAAAGCATATAAACTCAAAGGCATCCGCTTTAAAATAACATTTTTCAGCATAAATGCAGTTTTGTGATCACATTTTGAAATGCTGGCTCTCTGCGATTTAATTAGATAACTTACCGACTCATCGTAGGAATTAGTTGTGCACGAAGTAAAAAAACCATCGTTTGTAGTGTAGCAACGATACGAAACAGTTGGGCTATTCACCGGCGAATTTTTCAATGCATTCATTAATGGAGTATTACCATTTTTATCTGTCAACAGTGTGTTAGCTCCAAGTTCAACCAGGTACTTTACAGCATCTGTGAACCCAAAAGAAGCAGCATAATGTAAAAGAGTCATCTCATTTTCTTCCTTGTACAAAACCAAAAGTTTATCGTGATGCGCATCAATTAATAGTTTTAACATGTTTAAGCGCCTTTCCGATTCTTTTTGCATCTCTTCTGCCTCCGAAAGACTATTAGCAGCAAAAGCTTTTAAACAATAGGAAGAATAAATCTTTTCAGAAAGAGAGAACCACCTAACACTTCGCAATAAAAGTTCCCACATGTTCTCATCTTCATCGGATGGATAATTCAGTAAAAGTTTCGTCACTTGAGCAGAACAATACTGAACTGCTAGGCTGATGGTACTTGATCGAACAAGGTGCTGGCCTATTTTTTCTAGTGAAATATTATAGTTTTGAAGAAAATCTTGGTGGTCATACACGGCGGCGACATGCGCTGCACTATCCCCAGCACAGTCCAAAAGATCTTCTATTCGTTCATGATTAAATAATATTTCTGCAACTTTCCATAAACCATACTTTGCACTTATGTGAATGGCGCTGTAACCACAATTACAAATCTCGTTAGCGCAGTAGACTTTATACATAAATTCATGCATATGCTTGTGAAAAATAGAACACAATTTAGTGCTAATATCCCTTGTAATTTTTTGTCCGCAAACTGCAGTGGCATTTGCGCCATGTTTTAAAAGCAATTCTACCATTTCTGTATCATTTCTTTCCACGGCATCCATTAAAACAGTCTTCCCAGAATGGTGCTTACATTCTAGAGCTTCTTTTCCAAAATCTAACAAGAGCTGAACCATATCAACAAGTCCTCTGGATACTGCAGCATGAAGAGCAGTCTCACAAAAGAACGCATGGATTTCGTGTATTGTTTTCTTGCTTAGTTGCCAAAAATATTCATGTTGACATTCTAAGCAGGCATCGCGCAGTCCAACTGTCGATAATATGAATCTCACAATTGCTGAATGATTTCTTGCTGCCGCATGATGAAGTGCAACTTGATCAAAATTTTCTCTATGTTCGTAGAGAGTTTTAACCATTTCTAAGTCACCATTTGCTGCGGCTAAATGAAGTGGTGTTGGGTAATGTTTAGCAGAAACGGGACTGGTTATATTGCTCTTCAACAACAGTTCAACGACATTCGTGTATCCCTTGGCAACTGCAACATGCAACAAACTGAACTCCTCGATACCAGTATTTCGTACAACGGCAGTGACTGGGTCCAATTTCTTGTATCCTTCCAAAAAGGCATTAATGTCTGCCCCATTTTCTATACAGCTTTGCAAACTTCTAACAAGTCCTTCAGACGCGGCGTAGAATGCTGGCGTTTTGTTCCTGAAATCAAGTACGTCGACGGTTTGAAACTTTCGCAAGAAGAAATCAAGTACAGGTTGGTAGATAATTGGTCTTCGAACGAGATAATGTAGAATGGATTGGTTAGTCCAATGCTCGCGTATTTGGGTGACATTAAAAAGATTTAAAGCGGTTTCTTGAACTTCCAGAGATCTTCCCGACAGGATATGCATGAAAAGTTCAGTTAGTTCCCCAAACGTGATGTCTTCCTTTCTATTGCGCATGCGACGCAGTGAAAACCTAGCGATACTTTGATGACCTCTAGTTTGGTTGATCGAAAAAACAGTAGCCTGACCTTTTAACCATTCAGAAAAAGATTGATGGTAGATTCGCACAGTTCCATCGCGTCCAAATCGCAAAAAACACGAAACGTGTCCAATACGTTTTTTAAAGCCAACCGCTTCATACTCGCTTCGAAGGATGTCTTCAACTTCCTGCAAATGGAGAGGTGAATAAACTGCCAAAAGCACTTCAAAGAAATACCTGAATGGCCCAAATCCTCCAACACCAAATTGTCTCTCGAAGAAAATAGTATACAAATCAAACAGACTTGTCGGTAAAGACTTAAGGTTAATTTTCCCGCCAGCATCATTTATGTATTGCAGTGTCGTTTTTACAAACAAAAAGTTTCCTTCTGATCGAGTAATGACTTCGTCCAGGAATATTTTCATGTCTTCAGTCCCTGAATGAATTTTCAGTGCAGTCAACAGCCTGTCTGAGAACTGCGAGTTTTGAGACACGAAGCGGGATACATAATATTTTATGTCGTTTATATTCCGTTCGTCTGTGGCGAACAACGATGTTCTATTGATCTGCATCAAGGGGAGTCTAGATGTGACTGCGGTCAGGTTCCGAGAGGTTAATATGACCTTTAACCATTTTGGAAAATGGAGTATTTTATTTTTCAAAATATCTATAATTTCTGACGTTTGTACATCACTTTCCAAGCATTCATCCAAGGCATCTATTACAATAAACTTGGGGTTATCAGGTGGTTTCAAGTTTCGTAAAGGACCAACAATTGTGGAGAAGAAACATTCCGTGGGGTCTTTGTGACAACGGGCATCCAATTCCGCTCGAACTCTTTCATTGTTTGCAACATATTTGGCGTACTCTGGCAGCCGAGCAGCAATTTGATCAACCAAATTGCGAACAAATCTCGCCCCACTGCGTTTTCCCTTTTCAGAATATTCACACAGATGATACCCAATGATGTTTTCGTGAATCAACAGACTGGAATATGGTGAACATATCAGTTGAGACATTAAGGCTGATTTTCCAGATCCTGGCTCTCCTGTGATAAGAACACCAGTAATTCTTAAGCTTTCCTCGAAGATAGTTTCTATTTCAAAGAAAAACCACTTTCGACCAACGAATCCCTCTCTTTTATATGCTAGGTAAGCAGAGAAATCAAACTCTTGAAAATCAAAGTGGCTTATCGGTGATTTGATCACTGCACTCGGACAACCTAGAATGCAAAAATTCAAACCAATTGAATACGCACTGTGAACCTTAGCGCGCCAGCTACCACCTCAATAGTTCTCGAGCGCCCACGCGATCATCGTGATCTACTGCATAGGCTAGTTTCCACTCAGGAAAAATCTCCTTTGGATCGGAACGGACAGAAAAATTTCCTTTGTCGGTGAGTTCTCAGGCGGCGTTTGTACAAAGGAAACTTTCCACTGAGCTATATAATAATTCCTGGAGGACCGGCTCCTGTCAAAGAAGTGAAGCAAGAAACATGGCGGATTTTTTCGTGCTGACGCCAGATATGGTCCCACTGGGCAATGGTAATGACCACTGACACGGCTCAATATTGAGCCCACACCAGTGATTTTTTCCCCCGGTTACTTTTTGTCAGTGAACAACTGAACAACGTTTTGGATTCGTTGTTTAATTTGTGAACGATTGAACGTGTGTTTTACTTTTATGTTTTATAAACAATCCTGCCGCAACGGACATTAAGTAAATACTAAAATCACAAGGGATCGGGACAATTTTAAAGCTAAAGAGGTATTTACAAAGTTTTCTATAATATTTTGTTAAGATATTTTCATTATTTTTGATTGTATTTGCTTGTGCAAATCCTTGAGATGTAACTGCTGAGATTGTTTTCGATCAGTAAAGAAACAACGTTGTTCATCTAGTAGTAGGCGAGAAATTTATTTAAGAATTGTTAGAAATACACGTCGCTTATCAGCCTTAATACCTGATCACAGATGAAAAACGAAAGCACAGTATAAATCCATTTGAAAACATGCGAAAATCTGTCGTTTACTTTTGATTGTCGTGTACTTCCCGATTCTCTAAATCGTTTTTGTTTTTATAGGCCTAGTCAAAGAAATCTAAAAACGGCTAAAGTGGTAATGATATTTGAATTGATCTTAAGCTAGTTTGGGTGACAGGTATGTAAATATTATGGTTTTTCCATCATATTATGTATTTAAGTATTTCAGTTAATTATTAACTTTACTTAATAATCTGAACTAAAACTGTAGTCAGTTAGTTACTAGCTTATGCCATATGCTTCGCCTGATGCCTCTCTGGGCAAGTCAAGTAATAAGGAATACACAAATGGTATTGTCCTTGTCTATAGGTTTAAATCAGGTGAATCCCTCTTAGTCCTCAAGAGGCCAATATATTTTTCCCTTGCTTCATGTTGTGAACTTCCAGGGTAACTAAATATAATAAACATGTGTTGTATGTGGGGTTTGTTGAGTACTTTTGTTTGGCTACAATGCACCAATTCTAGTATTTCACAACATATTAATGATATTATTTGTCCCCACCAAATAAGGTCCAAATTATGTTCTATGCAGAAGCATTTCTGTATTTTGAGTCATTTTCATTATCACATATTTGCAGAACCATGCAATCTCTGATGAACTAGCTGTGTTGATAATGTGTTTGAAAAGAAAGGTATCACAAAATACTGATGGATTATTTTGTTAGGAACTTTAATTAACATTGACTTTTAGAAATTTAATTTTAAAATTATTAACAATTAATTATGAATAATATAAATGTAAAAATAATAAATAACAACAATAATTCATTTTGCAACATTAAATGTGCAGTCTTTGCAATTTTTCAAAACATATGTCAGGCCAAGACGTTCGGCCTGACAGTTTCTTGCCAGGTGGCCCACTTTCCCACACTTGAAGCATTTTTTTTCTACAAAATACATACAACAATTATTGTAACTGGTTTTATTTTATATCTCATAAATACTAGTATTAATCATGCAATAGTTTGTGACTTTTCCTATTGGTTGCAAGATATATGACTTTGTTTATCAGTGGAAGAGTTGTTATATGGTATAACAGCACAATATTTCTTACTTTTGTGGTGATCCCTGTTAAATTCTGAAATAAATCAATATTTTAATTGTAATTAATAAAAGCAAATACATATGACAGGTGAAATGTTTCCTATTTCCCCTCAATACTTGTGCTTTGTGATATCAAAAAACTTTGAAAACACATACTTCTTTTGCATGTGGCAGCTCTATGGCCCCTTTGGCCACAGTTGTAACATTTTCCTAAATAAAAATAATTATGGTCAATAATTTTATTCCTGATGATTTGTTATAAGGGAGCAATAAATTTTAAATGGTTTACCTTGGAATTGTCTTCTTTCATTATCATCTGTGTGAAAGATATTTGTGAAAAATTATTTATATATGACAGGACAAAACACCTTAATCATAACAATGCTGTTTCTAAGCCTTTAATTACATATAGGAAAGGTAGCATGTTTTTTATACATGGCTGTAGCTCTGCGGGCTATATGCTTAGAAACAAAGATAGATACCGTCATACAGGCATGCTCTAGCTATGATATATTTTATCAAAAACCGGTCCAAACTTATTACGAGTACATGTCTTAAAAATTCATACCATTTTGGCGATTTTCTTCGGCTTCGCCAACCTCGGCGGACGTCGGCTCGCCGTTTTTGTCATCTTCGTTAGGCCCTTCAATATAGAATTTTACGATTTACTGAAGTGTAAATAAGGTAGTTATAACAACTATTACCCAATTAGCTTTTTTTGAAAGGCATCCTAAACTTTTTTAAGGGTATTTTAAGCTTTAAATTTGAAATACGTATATCGCGAAACACATATGTACCGACCGTTCAAGATGTTTTTCTTTCCGTTTTCCATTCTAGCGCTCTAAAATATAATTTTTTTCTCAAATGTTGAAAATAATAAACTGATAAAACCCTATATAATTTATTATATTTAAAGACCAGCTCGTACCTTATTACTTTAATACAATTTCCGGTCAATTACAAATGAAATAAACAAAAAATAAAAAAGAGCGCGAAAAAAATACGACAATCTGATTGGCCCAGACGGTGGAAAAGATATTATTACTAACATGAAGTAATGAGATTGATGGTATGTAAAAACTAAATAGGGACAAGGGTCAGAAGATTGGATTACTGTCTGCCTTAAAGTACCACAAAAATAATGGTATTTGTTATAATTGGAAAGGATAAGAACAATCTACTTACTGGTGAACTTATTAAAAAATTAAGCACACAGTATAAATGTATTGTGCAAAGTACATTTTACATGTTAGTATTTAATTATCTCTATTTTTATTTTTACAATTAATCTAAAAATCTATCTACTGTTGTTGGGTGCCAAAGCATGTAAACCATTCTATCTGTGACACTTTGCTTAAATGATTGATCACAGAAGAGGAAAAATTCTTCGATCATATACTACCCACAACCAAATGACACTCTGCCAAGAGTATATCATTTACCCGTTTTCTTCATTACATAATACATATCATCCCGTGATTTTGGCAATGTTTCGGATGCCACATATGGCTTGCGCAGTGTGTGGTATCTCTTCATGGTAGTTGTATATTTAAATAAACTTGATAAAATGCAGTAATGCTAACAGTTGCTGTTATACATTGACTTTTTTTCTGCATTAGGCTGTAAGGATTACACTTGCAATAATGTCAATACATTGCCACTTTTTTCTTCAGTATTAAGCTGTGAGGATAACACATTCACTTTTTTTTCTGCATTAGGCTGTGAGGATTACACTTGCAATAATGTCAATACATTGCCTTTTTTTTCTTCAGTATTAGGCTTTTTTTCAGCATTAGGCTGTAAGGATTACACTTGCAATAATGTCAATACATTGCCACTTTTTTCTTCAGTATTAAGCTGTGAGGATAAATTCATTCACCATCTTGCATATATTCACTGGGATGAATTCTCAATGCAGAAGAATGCCATTCTTCTTGTCAAGCATAAAGTCAATGAGATTTTCATACCACAAACTGGATGTAAAATTATATTCCAACAAACTTTGATTACCATGTTGATCAAGTAAAATTGAGGTGTTTTTTTGGCTGAGTGTTACTTTTCCAGTGAGTTAATTGTTGTTCTCAACTCAGTATATAAAGTGTCAAGAAAAATGGAATACTTGCTTGGCAAATGTCAACATCAGTATTTTTATAACATGTAATGTTTTTATGTTTTTGTGTTCCTATATTCATGTTTAAAATATTTTGTTTGACTCACAAAATAAGGTCATTTCGATCTGGTTCAGAGCCTAATTTGGATTGATTAAACCACCCAGATTATAGGCCCATAAGATTTTAAGAACAAGTTTACATCATACATATATAAATATAAAACATAATTAGTATATTACAATATATTTTACAAAATTATAATTTGATTCTTAATTTATTATTCATGGTTGCAGTGAAATCTTTCCATTTTCTCTTAACCTAACAGATAGATTAAAAGGCACACAATTAATGGCACTAGAACTGAATAAAAACATTTAAAAAAAAATAATTAGAAAACAAAAATGTAATATTACCTCTAGGGACATCATTAAATTTCAAATATATAATTTGTTTGTCCAGTTATCAAACACCATACATACACATTATTTCTGTCAACCCCTAGACACATCTAAAATGTGCAGGTTACGTTGACAATGCATTCTCAACAATGCACACTTCCTCGAAACACAAATGATTGTGCCAGGATACGCCCAACCTTTCGAAAATGCAATGTCTATAACTGAAACATTAGAAACAAGGCTGCAGATATAAATAATATTGTTTACAAATATAAGCAACTTTTGTCTTTATAGTCAAAGGTTTGCTTAACTTTGTAAAGATTAAAAAAAATTTAAAGATGTAAAGGAAAACGAAGGAATTTCAAATGATTTTGCATCATAAAAAAATGAAAAAGTTAAATTCATGCAAGTTATATTGACATTGCATCCAAAGGCATACAGGCAAACCTCGAAAGCACCACTGCTGTGCCCAGGTCACGTGTCAGCTTTACTGGTGTTTGAATAACACGAGCTTTGAAAACTGCTTACGTATTACCTTCTCATGCATACTTGCATTCCTTAACTTACATAAATGATGCATTCGAATCGTGACATAACTCTGAGAACAGCACTTTATCAGAGTGAACAGGTGGTTGTCTACTGCACTTGAGTCAAACATGTGTTGGTTTAACGTGCTAAAGACCCCGCTCTTCACACATGTTTCCAGCACCGTCTTCGCGATTGCTCCTGATAGTCCAGCGCTACGAGGTAAACCACCTTGGTTAGCATTCAGCATTCTCCTAATGCACTTCTCCGTTTCTTCACAAATCTTAATCAGTCCGTGTGACGGTAGCTTCAAACCTCCATTCGTTTTCCATGTTACGAACAAGTCCGGTATTTTCTCTTTCGTCGTCGTCAGCACCGTTGTACATTGGGTGCAATGGATCTTTTTCGTCACCATCTTCGAGACGTATCCAGCAATATACGATATTGCAGCCTCCTTGTACTCAGACAGTTCAATGGCATTAGACACATCACAGTAGTCATGATCGACGGCAGCTGGCTCTCTCAACTCCAGGTCGTATCGCCTTGCAATCGCTACGTCTGAGATCCCAGTCGGCGTCTCTTCAATTTCACACTGGTCTTTGACGCAGTCTAATATCTGAGTGTCATCTTGAGCAACGCAGGTTCCATGACCTCCTTTAATATTGTGCCTCATCAGCAGTTGCTTGTACGCGGCTACAAACTGCCGTGTGGTTGGATTGTTATTCCGTCCTCCGCATGCTCGCACAGCACCGAAGAACAACTCCAAGTGATCTTGACTCGTCTTGTACGTCAGAAGGTACTTCAGGACAGGTTTCTCCGGCATAATCAGATCGTCAGCCAATCCCAAAACTGCTTTGATGCAAATAAGAAAACCAAGAAATCCGGTTTTCCTTTTCGACTTGAGGATCGATCTTCCATCAGGACCCTTTAGATTTCGGATGTACTCACTCGCCTGGTCCAGAAACTTCTTCGCGTACTGATAATTCGATCTCCTAATTGGCGCTTTGTAATTCTTCGCCAGCCGGTTTCTGGAATTCAGAACATCAAATAAGCGATCAAAAACACGAATAAACTTCACAGTTGGACCACATCCCTGAAATTGGGGCAATTTCAGCTTACCTTCGCAGTATTCTAAAGCATCAGCGACACTCGAACTGAGCGCCTGTGCTGCTAGGTTTACCTTCATCTTTTGTGGTTTCCATTTGATATGCCCTGCCCGAAGCTTATTAGCAAGATGTAAACCCTCTGATTCTTGCAACTGATGCAATTTCTCGATGAATTGCCACTGAATTGTGTTCCCTTCTTCATCCTTCAGAACTTGCCAGTCCGACATTGTGTTTCGCACCAACTTTATCATGTGGCAGGCGTCCAGAAACACGTAGATCTTGGCCTCTGGGTCACACGGATGCGGAAAATACGCCTGCAGGCTATCAGGTGTAAGAATTGCGCCGAGCTTCTTTAACATCGCCTGGTGGGTCGATGGACCGTAGCATGTGAAAGAAATCACCTTCACCCCGACTTCGTGCAATTTCCGAATGCATTCTTTCGTTAAGTTGGCCTTCTCTTCACCAGTCAGCCCATTCACCAGAAAATATCCACAGGGTATTTTCCAACTTGAGTTTGCGCAAACGGCCATGTACACAAGAGCATCGGTAGCTTCAGGTAGAGAGTCGTCTTCAATGCCCGTTCCGAGGTCGACATAACCACGCATTCTCTTACCATCCCACTCGACGTGTTTGCGTATAGACATCTCATCCAAGGTGAGAGCGCAAACAACTTCTTCACCTTTTCTTTTTGCAGCGAGGACCTTAGCTTTCAAAGCTGTCAAGGCATCTTTCGTGAAACCGGGTTCACCATCCATTGACGTATACCACGATCGGATCACAGATACGTGTGGCAGCCCTAGCTTGAAACTTTTCCGAACATAATTGTACGCCTTCGTTGAATAAAACTTTAAGGTCAGAGCAAATGACCTTAGCTCAGGTGGATATGCGCCAGGATTTTTATTTTTCTTTTGCGACACCAACCTTTTCATCAGTTCCTTTGGAACTCCGGAAAAGGTTGTTTCCAAGATTGAGGCACAATCACTATTTATAAGACTCTTCTTTTTTAACTCACTTACCACTGAACTCAGAGTCACAACCTTTCTCTTCAGGCGCCGAGTCTTTTGTTTGGATACTTTATACCTCTTCTGCAACTTTGTCAATTTGCTGACAATCATCGACTTGTTGTTTCAAACTACAACGAGATTTACTGATGTGATATGTGTGATCATGATTCGCTGCTCCAGATGTTCTAGTAATATGAGCCTTTTTCAGAGCAGTGCTTACCTCATCCAAAATCACTTCATCCTCAGGTTTTCTTTTCCTTCCGAGTATACTTACACCTTCATTACTACTAGAAATTTCTTCAGTGACCCCCTCAATACCTAAACTGTCTTCATTACCTACATTGTATTCCATACTTACACTGTCTTCAATTGTGATTGCCCCAGAGCCATCCCTCATATATTCAATTTCCTTGTTTCCAATTACATTTCTGACCTCCAAACCTAATGCTCCTTCACTCACCTCATTTACCAATTTTACTTTTTGTAACAAACCTTTTTTCTCAAACATTACATTTACAGCTTCCTGACCATTGTTTATCCCCTAATAATTTCAACAATATAGCCAATTTAATGAGACAAATATACTAAAATGACCCACCATGTTCATATTGTCACATCCAGTGGCATGCATCTAACCATATTCAAACTATTTACTGCAAATAATTACTATATCTTGTACTATCAATATTTGGTATTGACCTGAGATTTTTGAAATATAGTTGGGATAGCATTTTTCTTCAATATCACTCTGCTTCCAGTCTGCTGTTTCGTCTCCACTGCAAAATGTTCTGAGCATAATCGGCTTCCCTTTGTAGGTACAAACTGGACTGGGGAGTTCTTATTTACATTTTTAACCCACATAGCACGTATCTCAGGATAAATTTTCATATCTGGAAAGCTATATAATAACAATTAATGTACTAATGGTCTAAGATATTAGAAGATCTATGCAGTGCAATAATTAGTATTTAAATGCTGGTGTTTAAATGAACCAAATCCATTAACTGTATGCATGCAAGTGAATGTTAGAAAGATTAAATGAGGATTATACCCTTGACCGTACTTGACCCTGACTTAAATTAATACATCGTCTGCAAACCTATTATAGCAAGCTTCAGTTCAAGAGTAAAATCAGGGCGCTTACATTTATAGGCTACCTAAATTATTGCAATTACACGGCGACGTGTTGAACGTGATGGCGTCTTTCGTGACTTCAAAATATAATTAAAATATGCAAATACAGAAATACAATATCTAAAATATACAGAAATACAATACGTAAAATATAAAAGAATATGAAATCGTTAAAAACTATATTTATAGCGATTTAATCCTGAAATAAATCCAAGCCTATTTCAATATTAATCCTCTGTTTTGCTGTCGTGAGTTAATGCAGTCTTGTAAAAACCTAAGAATTATTTATTTGAAATGTAAATCTGAAGATTCTTACCGATGGGAGGAAATATTTTCCTTAGACAATCGGTTACGGCATCCAAAAGCTGAACAAAAACGCGGCATATTTATGAAAAATTTTCAAAAACCTTGGTTAACGTTTTAAATGCGTGTAAACACTTTGAAAAACTATTCAAGGCGGGAAATTTTTTGCAAAAAACCGGAGGGTGAAGAACAACGTCTGTTGGCTTGGATCGCGGTTGGTCAGTGGTCATTACCATTGCCCAGTGGGACCATATCTGGCGTCAGCACGAAAAATCCGCCATGTTTCTTGCTTCACTTTTTTAGCCAAAAACATTAGGAGCCGGTCCTCCAGGAATTATTATATAGCTCAGTGAAACTTCCCTGTCCTGTCCGATCCAAAGGAGAATTTTCCTGAGTGGAAACTAGCCTTATGTGAGAAAGGCTTACAGTTGTTTTAATTGAACGAGAATAGATAAAAATGGATTAAAAAAAATCATATAAAATTATAATGTATAATATATATAATTTTAACAGTTCTTTGATTGGAAAAAACAAATATGTATAACGATATATTATATATAATAAGTAAAAAACGCTAAACCAAAAACCGCAGTTTACACCAGTTAATCAGGCTGTAATTTAAAATCGTCTTACCGTAATCCGATATTAAACTTTTGTCCCCAACTTGGGATAACATAAAAAATGCCATCAAAGACCAAAGTACTCCAGAAAGTTTGCGCTGAACGGTGGATGCTGTGGACAGGAGTGCAGCAAGAATAATAGAACTTATTGCTATTATAAAATTTGAAAATATGTCATCCTTTCTTGGAGGTCGAATTTCTCGTTTTATTTCGTCCAATGTGTCCTTTATTTCTTGAGCATATTTTTGAATGATTGTTACCTGATTTTGTAGGCCTGCAAAATCTGCCTTTTCTGTATCTCTAATAAGCGAGAGGCATGTTTGAACATCTTTGTTGCCAGTGAACTCGGGATCATTTAACAAGACAGAAATTGCATTAAAAGCATCTTGTTTACCACTGTCACTAAGTTTTTGATTAGGTGCGTGAGCCCATGTATTCCGCCAATTTTTAACAGCTTTTAGTACAGCACTTGGAATCTTAAAATGGCTACAATTAATTAGCAGGTTTAAAAGCGATGCACAATCGGTTGTGTTCGGATCCTTAGTTGTTGCTGTATTTTCCCCTAGTTCAGACATAAATAACTTTGCGATCTCCCAGGTTCCACGCACTGGATCATGCCATTGACTACTGTCGCTTTGGTGCCAAGGAATGTGCTCTTTTCGCGAGAACTTGTGAAACTTCTTTAGCTCTTCCGCCCATTTGCAGATTGTTGTTCGGCCATGAGGGTTTGGTTTCTTCCCTAGAGTATAGCTGCAATGACATCTGACCCCAGCCCCAACATTTAGGGTTATAACAGCATGAAGATCCGAGAGTTTAGTCCCAGCATACTTTCGGATGCCATCACTGAGAATCAGGAGGGCATCACCAACAGCCAGCCAGTTACGATGCTCAGGATTATTTTTTCTCTCAAGTAAATCTTGGACAGCCGAACTCATTGTCTTCCATTAGCTATATTGGAACAAATTCATACGTTTATACGTAGTTTTATTAATTGAATATAGCTTTGAACGTTTGTTTGCTGATCACGACACTTTTAAAATAAAACATGGGTGATTATACAAAAAGTTTGATTCGCACTGATGATGGTCCGGGCCTTATAGGACCGAAAGCTTTCAAAACTAAATACACGTGGTGCTTCCACAAACACACGTCCAAAATTATATATCGCCATGAATATAGCAAGATATAACTTAATTACATATTACTATCCGCAACTATGCGATACACTTCTCCAGCAAGACTATACGCATGTAAAAATGTACAGTACCCAGGCATGGTCCAAATATGCTGGCAAATATTCCAAGACGCTGCTCGCAAGAAGAAGAAAAGGTCCCTCACAATTTATGATTGATACAATGAGTGCATGATTCGACGATAATCTCGGAAAAATATCAGCGAATGCGTCAACCCAGCCTATTATTAAAGGCAGTTCCGAAGTTCCAACGCTCAAAATGACAGAAAAAGGACTTCATTGTGTGTATTCAAAGCCATATTTCGAGCGCATAAATAAACATTGCACTCTAGAAACTAAGAATAAAACGGCCAGTAATTTTGAGAGGTTGCATGCAGCAACATGCAACAAGTTCTTCACCTTGATTGTTAACAAATCTATCGTCTACCGTGCCAAATCTTTTTTTCGCAGAGTTGATTGAAGAATCTTGTTCTACCCATGTCCATGCGGTATTATTTTTGTCAACAAATGAAAAACTTTCTGCAATTGAACAGGGCAATTTCTAGCCTAGTACTCTAGCCCTTTCGCTTCCTGCTTGCTTCTTGTAATTAGCGGCCGCGCAGAATATAGATAGCGCCGGCTTATATAACCGTCAAGAAATTCGGCGTTTCCTGGTAACTAATTAACGGCGGCAGAAGGCCTATTAACTAGGCTAGGCAATTTCCACTTAATTTTTACAGAGAAAAAAATCCATTACCATAACTCGTCAAAAGCTGTAGCCTATCCTCGCTTGACTGATGCAACATTGCATTCGTACCCGATATAAATTTTTGAAAAGGTTTCTTTTTATCGGCAACCGGCACCTTTTTGAAAAGGACACGCACAACCAGTATAGGCATATAGAGTAAATTGGTGTACGTAGTGTACCCTCAAATCTAACCAAACGGTCAGTTTGTCGTTTTTGAGACGAATAATTGTTTGTTGTTACAAAATAAAAAATAAAATAATTTCTGGTAACTGCATTTTGTTTCGTGCAGTTTTAAAGAGAAAATAATCAAATCTTCTTGTTACAAATTATCGATTTATTTTTTTATAAGCATGCGTTTGATTTCACACCGATGCACTCTACTCAATTAAGGCAAATGTATGTCATATATTTCATATATACATAATTGATAAGCAGCAGATGAACCGCTGTACACACAGATTAATTTTGGTTAGATCTAGCTTGCTTTGACAAGAATCTTTGATCCATACAACAGAGCCTCATTCAGGGTTTGTAGAGCATAGATAAAGGGTTTAATTTCTCTATCTTATAAAATTTTTCTATTTAATGAAGGAGGCATCTCTTTCAGTTTCCTAAACCCAAAAATTACTTTGCAGTCTCTGTCATTTTTTACTTTACTCCCTAAGCTAACAAAATTACAATATAGGCTTTGCTTAAGGCAAATCCGTCACGATGATCGATGCCAACAGAAAAAGGGAAATCTTATCCATTCTTTAAGTTTTGCCTCAGCTAGCCATTACAAAGTGGAAAGTTTAAATAGAAGGTTGGACTACACAAAAGTTAGAACCTCCACTAATAACAATCCCGTAAAACTACATACCAATAAAAAATGTGCAACTAAACAACCAATGGCAGATGGTCCCTGTCAGACTGCTTATTGCAATACTTAGAACTCACAGCATCAATCTCAAGATCTGATATTTCTGACATACAATACTTCATAATTTTGGGGACAGTACTGAAATGGTATGCCAGCCAAAGTATCGCATTTATAAAGACAAAGTACATGCTGGCAAAATCAGTTACCTGGCTGACAGAGTCCAGAAGATGAAGAATGTGAAAGAAACTTCTGTCCAATACTTCTTGGCATGGAAGCAATGAGTTGGGTTTTCAGAAGTTTCAGCTATTTCATAATAAATATACATACTGGTTATAAATTATAGTTATAAATAACACATTTTCTAAAGTTGGGACATTGAATCAATATTTCAATGGCATTATTATTGTGATGAGCTTTGTTAATTTTGTAGCGCTATTGCCATTACTAAATATTATTTGATTCCTGGTTATAAAAAAAAGAGTTAATTGAAATAAATTTATACACTTATGTTATGATCTAGGAAACAACCAGTGAACTCTATACAACTGGTACGATAACTCCTTACAAACATCCCCATTCAGCTTGCAGCCAAAATGGTTTTTTTGAGTTTTGAGACGAAATACTTGATGCCAGACATTAGGCTGTGTGTCAATTAAATTAAAGCTAGTGAAAAATTATATTTGGTGTAGAAATTTTAAGACTTAAAATACAAAGGAAATATTAAAAAAAAACAAAAACAATTTCCAACCGGCAAAAAAACAGGAAATTTGCAAATATTTTTTAGATATTTCCCTTTTAGCTAAAGTCTTAAAATTTCTACAAGAAATATATAAATTTTATTAGCTTTAATTTCATACACGCCATTATACGGCTCAACATTTGGCATCAAGTATTTCAGCTTAAAACTTAGAAAGAGTAAAAAGCACTGGCTTCAATTTCCCTCCCTGAGTTATCATTCCAGTTTGTTTACAGTTCAATGGAAACAACTAGACTAAATACTACACCAAGTAATATGACAACTAAAATAGCAATGCATGATCCAAGCAATAATAATGCAATCAAAATATGGAATGAACTACCTGCATGTTTTATAAAATACTGAAAATCACACCTATATATATATATATATATATATATATATATATATATATATATATATATATATATATATATATATATATATATATATATAATTGCATATCACTTTATGTTAATTTGAAGTAAGCATTGAGTATTGTCAGACTGGTCAGACAGAGTACTTGACAGAGACAAAACATTAAAATACATGCCAAAATTATCCCAACCCTTCGGGTTTCTTGTTTTGTGTTATTGTTGGCAGAAGAAACAAGAATTTGATTCGGATTAATTAGATTTAGATCTAAATTCCAATGATTAATTCTATGCTGTTGATGTAAACTAATATACAGTCCAGAAAATGAAATATATTATAAACTAATTAATTGTAAATGCTTTGAACAAAATTTGGTGTTGCTGTGAGCTGGTTGTCAATGCTTTAATTAGAATCACAATTTATTTTGTGCCACCATGAATGCAACCATTGTCCGATCTAACATATACCTGCAGTTGCAAGATTTATATATACATATGTTACTGCATGCTATTCGGCAATACAGTAAACTTCGCGCGAACAAAATAAATCCGTTCAATTTACCTTTATGATGAATTTGCAATTGAGATGTTTTGATGGATTAAATGGCGATGATGACTTTACAGTCGCTATGGAATGTATGCAAATTTTAGTCATAAACTCACAAGCTCTACCATGTTTTGTTTACATTTAATTCAGAGAAATTTTGTTCTCGGAACTAACCAATAACGGAAGTAAATTTGATTGGTGGAAACATCCTTGTTGTTAAAAGAAGTGTGCGCATGCTTAACTTGTTTGGCAAGACTAGTGTCATACAGAAATTTAACAAAGTCCAATCTGACTTAAAACTGTCCAAGAGAGAAATAGGGGGGAATATTTTAACTGGGAACGTGCTTATGAATTGTTATAATAGCGTGCAAACAACCAGGCACGCCGGAAAAGGGGGGGGGGGCGTTGGGCATTCTTATTAACGCACTGGTTCTTATTAATTTTCACCCTAAGTCAAACGTCGCTCTTTTCATGCACCGAACCTGACGCCACTAATCTCTATGACTCTATTTGTATTAGGTTCGGCGCATGAGAAGAGCGATGTTTGACCTAGGCCTAAAATCTCTTTTTCGCACCGAATATAACAACCGTTGTCCTTCCGGCGTCCCTGCTGAAATAACCGTCCTGAAAATCATCTTCAATTAGGACCGGGCTACCGTTTTTAATGAAGTTTGAATAATAAATAATAATAAACTTAAACCTAAAGTATTATATGTGAACGTATGAACAAAAATGTTTATATGCTCGGCCCATAACTATACGCTGTCGAGTGTGTTGCTATTGTGACAGTGCCTTTGCTTTTTTCTTTTCAATCCTTCGAAATTCATTACTTCACAAATGAAACCAAAGTGATCAAAAGAATGGCAGTGGGATTAGCCCAAAACCAGATGAAGTTGACCAGAAAGATGGTTGAGGAAATCTTTGAATTATTCCAAAGCTATGGCGAGCGAAAGCCAAAAAGAAAAACAAAAGAAGTGCAGAGTAAAGCTTAGCCGAAACGGGGAAACCAGGAAAAGAAAGGACGATATTATTCGTAGCGATGATGAAGACCATCCAAGGCAAAGAAGAAAACGAAACAGACAAAAATCAGACACATTGGAGTATTTTCGAAGCAAGCACGAGAGTGAATAAGGCGAGAAGAATTACATGTTAGAAAACAGGATATGGATTACGAAAGTCGAATATTAAAGGTGTATCTATCTACCATCAGACCCGTGTTGGAATATGCGGTACCAATAAGCGATACCTGAATATTTATGTAAAAAGATCGAATCCATGCAGAAAAGAGCACTTCAGATTAATCATCCCTCAGTTGATAATAATTATGACGAGGCGATCTGCCTAGTCAAAATACCAACTTTAGAGTGCAGACGTGAACAGTTTTGTAAAGGATACATGGCAAAAATGAAGAATGAAAATCACCCCCTTCACATGTTGCTTCCGAGAGGTCAGAGAAGTGACTGCAGTCATAATATGCGGACTGAACAAAATAATTTTGTGCTGTTTAATAATATAAGTAAATGTGCAGAACTTTAAGATCTGAAACACTTTTTACCTTCAAATATTTTTAATACCTTCTCTATACATACCGACAAATAGAATTATAGATTTAGATAAGCTAGGGGACATTTTGTTGAATAATTCTTATTGCACTTTTTAACTTAAATATCTTCTACAACCCCATTGTACATTATGTATTTCTAGTGTAAATTCAGGGGCGTAACTGTTGGGGGGGTTGTGGGGGGTGTGACAACAGTGTTTTGGTGGGGCAATTTGCGGTCCGGGCAGACCGCAGGGTTCAGGTTGAGTAAATATTATATGATTACTAAACAAACTAACAAAACTTTAAATATTAAACGCAGTTATAGGAATTGTAAGATGAAGTAAAATCGGTTTAAATAAGGGTTCCGCAGGTTAGAAAGAGTAGGCTGCAAATGCACAACGGAGTACATGGTAAACTCGAATGCATGATTATATATTAAATAAACATTCGAATGCATGATTAACGCACTGGTTTGTAAATAGATGTAGTAATCAGGTTAAGGCTTTCATATAAAACATCTCGCTTTCAATTTTATGCAGCCAGATTTGCTCACAGACTATCATAAGCACGCTATAATTGCAATTGGGTGCCACGCCCTTTTCTGGGTATTGGTTGTACGCCACGCCCTTTTATAGGGCAAATTTGCTTCACAACCCCCCAACACTTGGTCAAGTTACGCCCCTGTGTAAATTATATTACCTCACAATGATATAATTAGACTCGTGAATTCAGTGTAATTAGTGCAAAAGAGTTCTAATAAACAATAATAATAATAAATCGATTGGTTCCGCGATGTTAGCCGAATATACATTAGATTCACCATATGGTGCACATTTCTGGACCGATCTTGCAAAAGGGGTCCCATGTCATAGTACCTGACAGGATAAGCAAACCATAAAATGCGCAGGGCCTCAATCCCACTAGTTTGACTGATGGCTGCATGTATAACCCAGAACTCAACCATCTTTACAAAGTTAAGTGGGAGGAAAATGTTAGCGAAAATACATACTGTTGCAATTGCAAGAAAAATTTAAACAAATTTTCCTACTTATACTGTATAACTCTATTTTTAGGTCTACTACAATTTTCCTACTTACTTTTTTAGCTATATATCTACTTTAAAACAGATCCCTTCCTCCCTAGAGATTGCCAATTGCAAGGAAATTTCCTTACATTGTTGAAGCCCTGTCTACTATCCTAAAAACAATGCCTGAAGAAAAAATTTTTTCTGTCTCATCCGTTTTGAAGCGCCATTTCGTATTGATTTACTAAGCATTCAATTTTGCTAAAAGTTCGCATAAGATTATAAGGTTAATCACACAATATTCTAGCAAACGAAATATCGCAAACAAACTTTTAAATCTTACTAAAATTACTAAGCACGATCGTTTGACACGAAATTCTTCCATTTGTTGTTAATTCAATAAATTACATGCAGGCATTTGTGGGTCAATCTACAAAATACATTATCCAAACGAACGCTAAATCATCAAGCCATTTTTTGAAAAGTTTGCAAAAATACCTAGTAAATCATGCCTTTACTGCATGCAGAACACGCAGATACAATTTTATATGTCTTGGTCAGAAGACATAACTGCTAAAAACGAAAAATGAATGGAGGCGCATTTTTTTGTAAATTCCGTCCTATTTAATTGCTATTAATTGCTAATACACTTCTTATTATTTATTATAATGCATTATAAAAATGTAAAAATAGAAATATCTATCTGTAATGACGTGGATATAATCCATTTTGCCACAAAAATGCATGGGTAAATATACTATTTGGCTATTCGCAAATATCAGTTAGTTTTCCTTCGAAGCATGACAGTTTAAGTGAATAATTCGAGTAATAATGGTTTAGTGTTAACCATTTTGTCCGAACAATCGTTCTTAGGTTAAATGTGGGTTCAGGTAAACTTGTTATGTTTACGTAACTTAAGAGTCCAACTGTCCAAGCGAAGCAAATTTTAATCTCAACTGCGAGGATTCTGAGGCAGCTGTCGAGCATATTAAGCATTAGGTCACAAAAAAGGCTTAATTCGACGAGATTATTAGTGTATTTAGTTTAATTTGTTCACAAGTTAGTATTCGAAAGTTATAAGTTGTTAAGTTGTGAACAATTTTATAGCTACCTACGTCAACAGCTTAAATAAACAAAATATTGAGAGCTGGAGCGGGCTTCAGAAGCCAACCCACATTTCTAAAACGTGCAACGCTGCTTGGCTAGTTGTGGATCACCCGATATTGTAGAGGTCGTGCACTACAGCACAACATGAGTGGATTCATGACGCATCACATTTACGCAAAAAACAATGGCGTTGTCTTTCTGATGGGTTTATGTGACGCTTTAGTGTGCTCCAAGCTTTAAGTCATGTACAGCTTTCACAAATAATTAGGAAACACGTAGGAAGGACGATAATTGGGCAATGGGCACAAATTCATATAGCTATTTATGTTGTGCGTTCTTGTCAAATCGATATATTAAAATAAATATACGCATATATGTGTCTCCCCCCGGCCCCCTAATAACAATAGTGAGTTTGGGAAATACAACGGCAACGGCAACGGCAACCGCAACGAGCTCATCAACAATGGCTACAAAAGAAAATGCAACTAACGTTGCATGCACATTGCCGTAGTTGCTGAGACGGCATCGTGATTTCCACTAATTTCAAGGTGCATGACCACGCGGCAACAGTTGATGTGTTTGATGTTGTTTGAAGTGGTTAAAGTAACTTTGTTGATCGAGTATATTTGTTATACAGTTAATAACTGTTTGAGAGAAAGAGGAAACTTGAAGAGGCAAATCAATTCAATTACTAACTTATATTTTCCTTGAATACCACAATATTAGGTGAATATATTTTGCCGTTGCCTTTGCCGCTGCCGTTCCACTTCCCAAAATCACTACTATAGCTATAACATGCAGCTAATAGAATTAACAAAAAATTACGCGCACATCACTTGAAACAAACAAACAGCGCAAAATGTAATCATAGCGCGTAGAATAACAATTATATCTATTTTACTTACTTTGATTTGCGCACGCACTAAACTTTGATAGAAAGATAGCGCAGAATATTTCTAGAGTTATAGATATATCAGTGATACGCGATTATTTTAATAAAAGCACAAACGACAGTTACCTACTTACAAGCAGGTCCACGTTAAACACGGACTTAAGTTTGCTTGAGTTGGCTATAATTATGCGAAGCGATACCGGCCGGAAAGTGCAATAGATCTAGAATTGATGTTTTGCGCAACGGACATCCCTAGGCTCGGAAACCGCATTGCGCATTTGCTGACAAAACTTACGCATTTTGGTTTAGCGGTTGTCGCGGAAAACAACAAGGTCAGCTGTTTTTGCCAATATATACAATATCATAACAAAACATCCGTTGATTTGTCTCTTCCGTTTCGAAACCAACAAAGATAGTATTGAACATACCACCAGTACAATTCACTGTTTATTAATTGAAAGGCAAATGGAATACATAGAACTATAGTAGAACAATACTGTTTGATTCCAAAGCCATTAAGACGGCACAGTTGAGACAGTCAGTAAAATACTAAAATTGTTGTGTGAACCAACACTAGAGCGATAAACTTGAATATTAACGCACATATTCGTGTAAATTATTGCGTAAATTCGCTCGTGTAAATCCGTTCGTTCGACCACAATGGGCAATTGAGCCATTAAATTAAAGAAATTTCGCAAAAAATATCTTATTTCGAACGAAATAAAGTTCGCAAACGTCCGACGATGGCCATGCTGGCGGAAGATGTGGCAGGCGTAACTAGGAAGTTAATTAAGTTTCATAATAAGGAAATTATTCTAGTGCGAGATTATAACTGTGATGGACCAAGTTATTGACTAATGATGCAACCTCTCAGACGATGAAGCTGAAAGACATTCCTGATACTTTTCAATTTGATCAACTGATTCGAGAACCCAATCGGGTAACTGAATCATCGAGCACGTTGATTGACCTTGCATTTGCTAGTGTTTTATAAGCAATATGACTGAGACATGTTGAATAATTTGGGATAAAAAAAGGATTACTTTACGGAGAGATTAAATGAAATTAAGAATAACCCGAAGGACATGTGGAAAGTGATCAACAAGATAACTAGTAATATACAATTACTTAATGGTTTCTGTGTTTGGATGGCCTGATCCAAACACGCGGGAATGTTGCGAGAGTTAAGAAAAGCGCGCGAAACACGAGCCGAAGGCGAGTGTTTTGCGAGCTTTTCTTAACTCGAGCAACATTCCCAAGTGTTTGGATCAGATCATTCAAACACGGAAACCATTAAGTAATTGTTTTATAAAATAACAAACCATAATAAATTTGTTTTTAAATTCCCGCGAAATTTCCGTGTTTGGATGGCCTGATCCAAACACGGGCTTCAACCAATCAGAACACACGTTATATACATGTTATTTTATAATAAGAAATCAAAAACAACTTCCATCCCAAGGCTTGACATTAATGGAAACGTTACTGGAGATTCAAACGAGATTTCGAACTCATTTAACTGATTTTTTAGTACAATTGGACAAAATTTAGCAAGCGAACTTCCAGTAACTACCGACAAACCCGAATCGTACATCACTCCCACTAATTCAAATTTTCAATCGCAAAATGTCTTAGAGTGGGATGTGCTCAATTTACTCCAATCTTTGAAAGATTCAAAAACATGTGGACATGATAGAATTTCATCAAAATTATTGGGAGGTATTGTCCCTTTTAAGTAGAATTTTTAACCAATCACTCAATACAAGTATTTTCCCTGATGATTTGAAAACAGCAATAACTACTCCCATTTATAAATCGGGAAGCAAAACTGAATGTAATAACTATGGACCCATATTTGTTCTATCATCAGTTGCGAAAATTTTTTAAAAAGTAATATCTAATCAACTCGCAGCATTTGTAAAATAGCGGAATAATTTCTTCTCAACAGTCTGGTTTCAGAAAAAAGTTCTCAACAGAAACAGCAATGCTCAATGTAACAAGTAGATGGTTAGTAAATATGGATCATGGGCGTCTAGATTTGAAGAAAGCATTTGACTGTGTAGACCATTCTATTTTGATAAAAAACTGGCTCTATGTGGTTGTACTGATACTACACTAGACTGGTTTAGTTCTTATCCTTCAAATCGAACCTAGATGTGTAAAATGTGTTATTTTTTTGTTTATAGATATAGTTATCCGGCGAAATAAACAGAAATGATGGAAATGTCTTTTGTTTCAACCAAAATGTTGTTTGCTTTAATGATCTTGATATACTTTGGTGGAAATCTGAACAATCCCAATGAAGATATTCCTATTCGTGACAAGCAATTAAAACAACTGAAAGAAGACGTGGAAAAACTGGGGAAAGAGATGTGTTAATGAGAGACTGGGAAATTAAACGTGGATGAAATTAAATCATATTTTAACGAAAGACTATACGATCTCTCAATGAAACTCAAAACAATTGTTCGTCTCAGGCTCAGGTAAAATAATGTGGCAGAATAAACTGACAGTTTGACTAGATTTGAGGATACACTACTACACTCGGCCTGCCTTTACTAGTCGTGCGTGTCCTTTTCAAAAAATTTTATACCTGCTTAACAAATCGGGAGTGAAACAATATTATGCCACCATTTACTGATTAATCATTATTTCTATTGTGCTTATATGTGTTTAAATGTGTTTGATACAACAATGTTCAAAAAAGTTTTAATTGAGACAATTAAAGAGTAAAGTATTAATGCCATTAGCAGAACATGTCGCAGTGCGTTTACCTCAAACCACTTGTAGTGTGTGCCTTATATAAGGCCGACACACAATGGACGCAATCCACCAACGCAAGGCGATTTTACGATTTTTTTCAGTTTTCAAAAGAAAATAAGTTCAATCAGTTTATGATTTTTTAGATAATTACGAAAATATTGTACATTTAGCTCTAATTCCGATGGTTGTCAAAATTTCTTTCAAGGATTGGTTTTTCTTCTCCGAACAGAAAAATTCGCCTCGCGTCCAGTATAAACAGTACAATACAAACTTAGATTATCAAGATATTATTGAATATATGAATTCCTGTTGGCTTACTGTTGATTATTAAATCAGTTTAGTTGGCCGTATAAGTTAATTTTGCATTACATTGCCACGGAAGAAGTGTTCGTATAAAAAGTGCAATATTATTATTTTATCGCTATTGTTTTTTTGCGATCTTTTAAAGTTGCTCTTCCCCAACGTCGTTTTGTCGCAAGCCAAATTGCATTGTGTTTTCCTTGATGCTGGCCCAACCCATCATAGCAGTGGTAGAAGCCTTTCCAAAATGTCCATGTTGATCAATCGCAATTACACCGCCTACATCATGCACCTGTCTTCTCATCTTGCCCAAAGACTCTTTTGCAGAATCCTATGGTGTAAAAAAGGATATTGAGTGCGGGGTACTGTGATTTTCGGAAAGCAGTTTGCCGTCTTATGGGGTTTGTACGTAATTTACCTCTTAAAATGGTTTAGAGTCCTTGGTATACTAAAATATAGCGCTAAAAGAATTGTAAACTTCAGAACCAAACCTGAGCATTCCGTCCACCCTCCATCATGTAAACGACATCTCTTGCTAAGGTCATTTTAATTATTGATTCCCCTAGTCCAGATGTTGTTGCTGCTCCGTGTTTATTTGCGTAACCACCACAACCCACCATCGATGCATCACTAACACGGCCTTTTAATCTTCCTGCAACACCGCCTACAAAAAGCAAAACAATTACAATACTGATTATATGGAAATTTTCTGCTTTTAGAATCTCTTGATGAAAAACGTCTATAAACCATGTCAAATGACGATTTTTCACGAAAAAAGTTTAAGAGGGAAAACAGTTTTAAAACCACAGAGGAAGAGCTCTAGGAATCTTCACCTGTTGATACCGCGCAAGCGAAATGACCATTGGTATCTCTAGCAACTGCTGATACTGTGTCACCACTGTCATCATTAGCAACAGCTGATGCGGTGTCACGACTGGTATTCCCAGGAACAGCTGATGCTGTCTCGCAACAGGAATCCCCATCAGCCTCGCCCACGAGTAGTCCCCGCATTCGACAGTCTACGTATTTAACAAAATCCGTGTAGGAAATTCGCACGTTTTCGGATCGCTGGGTTACGAGTTGTTTTTTGTCATTCAGTGCGGGAAATCCCTTTTCTTTAGCAAATTTCAGTGCTCCCTCACCACTCAAGCCACAATGGTATGAGTCATTCATGATTAGTTTGGCAAGTGAAACAGGATTACGGAAGTGGCCTCCAGAGGTCACTGATCCTATACAGGAAGTAAGCTACAATGTAAAGACAAGCTTGGATGGACGCTGATATTGTGTCCATCCTAATTTCATCACTTTCTGAATTCTGGAGCCGATTGTACAAAGTCTGAATCTGGGCCGTCGCTAGAAGCTTAATTGGGGGGGGGGGCGGGTGCATATTTATATATGCGTGTTATGCCCGACTCATTCTTTTGTTATTAATTGTTTCTATGGTTTTACGAACATGATTATATGAATATACACCCCACAATGATATAATTAGGCTTCTAGCGACAGCCGTAGTCCGGATAGCGCTATCCACCGGATAGTGTTTCTTCAATAGGTCTAAAAATGCTTGAAAGGTTTAAAAACCAACAAATAATAAAGAGGAACATCATTTTTGGGCTAAGATTTAATCAAAATTATACCCAACAACAGGGGATTCTAAAGTAATTAAATTAAACACTATCCGGTGTGTTACGAGATGTTACATCAAGTATGCTCGTGCGCAGCCAAGACCGGTCCGTACTGTCAAGACCTCGGGCTGATATTTCTCTAGTACGGACCTCAAATTCGGTTAATAAGTGGTATATATGTAACTTTTCTTAAAGTGACGAGTAGACCTGTGAAAAGAGGGAGGATGTTACAAGATATTATATCAAGTATGCACCCCCAGTATGCGGGCGCAGCCAGGATGGTGCTATAGAAACAAACATATTTTCTATTTTGCTTCGATTTTGTATTTAGAGCTACTGGTGGTAATAACTTGACAAAATATATTATTTTCGGCTCATTGTAACACGGTGGATAGCGCTATCCGGCTTTCATCAGGTACCGTCCTGCACGCTGTAAAAACTGAATGGTCGAAATGACCAAAAAAAAGGTTGCAACCATTTAAAATGGTTGTTTCAACCAATTAAATTGGTTAAAACCAAATTAAAATGGTAGAAATAACCAATAAAAAATTGGTAAAATGGATATGAAAGCTCATATTGGTAAAAACAACCAAATATATTTAGTAGAAACAAATAAAATTTGGTTAAATTGACCAATTACTCTTTGTGGTCAATGGGGTATATTTGTACACCTCTGGTTCTATTTTCTATTGAATCCAATAGAATATGCTAGAATGCTATAGCACATTCTAAATCCTATAGAATATTCCATAGAACTTCTTATGATCCTATGCTATATAGAATTGCATTGCCGTATTCTATAGAATTTACAAATCCTATAGAATATTAAGTCTTAAAGTTAAAATTCTCAGCGAAAATCGCTCGTTTTGTAAGCACAAATCAAACATATTTCACACATATCTGTAAACTGTTTTCATAATATACCTGTTCGCAGGTTAGGTGGCGGGCATTTTGCCCAAAGAAGACCGCAAGATGCCGCAAGGTTATTAGCCTGCGAATACAGAATCTATTTATACGCTTATTCCACGGTGGGGGGAAACGCGATTATCCCCCCACCGTGGAATAAGCGTATAAATAGATTCTGTATTCGCAGGCTACAAGGTTATGTGGGACTTGTATAACCGACACGCGTTATTTTCAAATTTTGAAATTCAAATTCAACCATCTACAATTTCAACAACAACATGTGTAGAGCTAAAGCATTATAATTCAGTGGTGAGTGTGTTTGTATATAGTATATGTTTATATTTAAAATATTGACTATTTTTTCGGATCAGACTTTGTATGGCTGCTGGACACTTTTTTAAAACTTTGTCCAGCTGTCACATGCCTACTAGTATTAATTAAATATGAAATGCCCTCTATGTATAACCATGCACTGAGTCATTTAAAAGATTACTTTATTCACTCCATTAAGGCTTCAAGATCACCTTTAAGTGCAAGATTCTTATGACTGATGCTGAATCAGAAATCCTCAAATTCTCATGATGCTGAATCAGAAATGGCAATTACTAGAAATACATGCATGCAGCAACCCCTCGCTATTTCAAACCAAGTACACAATTTCCTGAGTTAACCTGACCTAAACTTATATTATGAAATGACACAAAACTCAAATCAGTCTTAAAGTTTCCATCATTCAATACAAAAATAATCATAAAGCTAGTGTAAACATTGCCCGTTCAATTTTGCTGCGTTATACCATGCCAGCAATTAAGTAACGGTTTAAAATCGAAGTTTCAAACGATTAAAACAGTACAAAGTCTTCACAGACAAAGAAAAAACTTCAAATGTTATTTTATTCTGTAATTGCAGTCAACGCCGGGGGCTAAAAGTTTCAGTATACTTTAGGAATACAAAGCTCAAAAGTATACAAATACGGCTCATTCTTACCGCGAAACAAGTACGAGATAAACAAAGTAAACACGTACCCTTTGTCTTTGAAAACATTTATAAGCTTGCAGATTATGAATTATTCCTCTTACACGGCTTTGTTTTGACTGTATCCACGTTTATCTTTGCTATCTGTCATGCTTCATATATCTTGTTTCTTCTCGTTTTACTTTCTTTGCACAAAGTTTATGAAACGCTTTTACAAAAAATCAAAAATGTTTACGAAATGACAGTTGAATTGCTGACGTTCTCATTGAAATACAAACTTTCTGTCTTAGCCAATCAGAACGTTCGTTGATTACCAGTCTGCACTCGTTCGCATTTCGCGCATGCGCACAAGTACCATGACCATTGAACGTCTATGGTCCAAATTTATTAATTTAGGCGACTTTGGATTCCGCTATGTTCTCCCGGGTCCCGGGTGTAATTCCTAATCTCCGGGCGGAATTAGTACCCTCGCACGGTGCTCCGCACCGGCTCGGGGATTATTGTATTTCAGTATTTATGCCAGCGTTCTCACTTTTAAGGAAATTTCCTTAAACTAAGGAAATTTTGATCTTATTTCACCTTTTTAAGGAATTGTTTGAGAAATTTTATTTTTTAACTAGAATTACATGCATGCAGCAACCCCTCGCTATTTCAAACGAAGTACACAATTTCCTGAGTTAACCTGACCTAAATTTTATATTATGAAATGACACAAAACTCAAATCAGTCTTAAAGTTTCCATCATTCAATACAAAAATAATCACAAAGCTAGTGTAAACATTGCCCGTTCAATTTTGCTGCATTATACCATGCCAGCAATTAAGTAACGGTTTAAAATCGAAGTTTCAAACGATTAAAACAGTACAAAATCTTCACAGACAAAGAAAAAACTTCAAATGTTATTTTATTCTGTAATTGCAGTCAACGCCGGCGGCTAAAAGTTTCAGTATACTTTATAAATATAGTGTGTATTTTTGATACCAAAATTCAAATTACACTTTCAAAAACACTTTTTGAAGTTAAAGCAAAGGTGTAATAGCCCTTCACAGGTTTATGCGTTTGCAGAAAAAGCTGAAAATTTAACAAATGAACGGCATACAAAGCCGAAAAGTATACAAATACGGCTCATTCTTATCGCGAAACAAATACGAAATAAACAAAGTAAACACGTACCCTTTGTCTTTGAAAACATTTATAAGTTTGCAGATTATGAATCATTCCTCTTACACGGCTTTGTCTTGACCGTATCCACGTTCATCTTTGCTAACTGTCATGCTTCATATATCTTGTTTCTTCTCGTTTTACTTTCTTTGCACAAAGTTTATCAAACGCTTTTACAAAAATGTTTACGAAATGACAGTTAATATAAATTGCTGACGTTCTCATTGAATTACAAACTTTCTGTCTTAGCCAATCAGAACGTTCGTTGATTACTAGTCTACACTCGTTCGCATTTCACGCATGCGCACAAGTACCATGACCATTGAACGTCCACGGTCCACGACATAGAATTTGAGCAACTTTGGATTCCGCTATGTTCTGTCACAATACCCGGGTGTAATAAATCTCCCAGCGGAATTAGTACCCTCGCACGGCGCTTCGCCCCGGCTCGGGGATGAATTTCTAAGGAATTCTGAATTTTATCGAAATTATTTACTTTCGTTACAAAAGTCATAAAACTGAACAAAACATGGCAAAAATTAAAAATTGTTACTCCATTCTTACAATGATTTTTTAACTCTTCTCAACTTCTGTGATCAGTTCGTGAACCTGGCCGATAATAATAAAACAGCTTTTTACACTAACTAATATAAAACCAAAACAATTTTCCCGCCTTTTTAGTAAACTACACTAGGTCCCAGGCTTCATATCTGGGAACCCGGAGATTTAAGGAAATTTTACTCAATCTGAGGAATTTTTGTCCTTAGTCTAAGGATTTCTAAACAATAGGATGTGAGAGCCCTGATTTATGCTGTCAAAACTCAACAACTGCAAATCCTACTTCTGGTGAATCATATAGATAATATAATAGACCTTTTATATATATCATTATAAATAGGGCCATTACAACTAAAATTTATTTCTGTCAATGCTTTTGCAGTACATTTATAAATTCTATAGCTATATCATGGCATCATGCTAAGAATGAATAAGGTGTCAAGTGTTTAATTTTCAAAATTAAATGTGAAAGATTTAGTTTATGCAATTATGGGCATGTCGAGGACGCAAGAACAACTTTGCTCTCATTCCATCCCTGGAAAAGCTTCAAATGCCTTTAAAGAAAAGGATGCAAAAACTCGACCCAGAGAAAGTTAAGAGTATGTGTAGTAAGTAGTATTTGTTAGTAACTATGTGTGGAAGTTAATATATCTTATATACATATCTTGGTTTAGCTATTGTTGACTTTTACTTTTTCTGTGTGTAGAGCATCATTTCAATGCACATGGTTATGATACCGAAACATTGATTCAAAGAAGCCATCAATGCTGGCTGCTCTGGAAAAGAACAAGAACAAAGATGTCCAACACATTATTGGTCTGTTAGAGGATTGTAACCCCAACTAGAAAAAGGTATACACAGATATATATGTATATAATATACAATGTTGAACTATGCAAATCACATTTATTATGTTGCCTGCATGCTGAATCTTGTAATCAAATTTATTTAATAGAAATGGAAAACCATTGCATCTTCACTGCCCCGCTGCATCAGTTGGGGCAGAGAATGACCTGGACAATTATTTTGGGAAATTGTCCTGTAAATATTAAACTATAGTTCAAGAGTTACTCCATAAAAACTAAAAATATGCTCAAGTACGTGGCTGCTTGTCAAGTGTAGGATCTTGTTCTTTTGTGTCCCAGGATTTTTCCCATATGTAAATGTTTTATTTCCAAGCTTAGGAATATAAAGTTTTATAATTTTTAAATTTATTTTAGGATGACAGTGGTGTTGAAATTTCAACCATCTCCAAAGTTGCTATTAACTAGCTGGATCTCTTGGTGACATCCATTCACTAGACCTTGTGGCTGAAGGCATGGTAGCAGGAAAGTTTAAGCAGTTTTACATCTTAAATGCTGTTGTGTGTTTGCTGACTGCATTGTATGTATCCAACTCAGAGAACCCTAAAGCTGGAGGTGGGTAGACAAAGAATGTGTTCCTTCTTCTGGACCAGATATTACTACAAACAGACGGAAAACCGAACATTCCAATTGGACTTGAGAACTTTTTACCCCAGCTTTGAGAACCTGGAAATGACTTAAGTATAGATGAATCCTAGTAAGATAAGTGTTTGAATGTAGTAATTTGTATATATGTATGAAAATATAACCATTAGGATAAATTATTCATTATATTAGATCTTTTATAATATATATGTGTGTTTTGACAAAATTTGATTTGAAGTGCTCTGAATTTCAGGATAATTTAACCAATCTTTAATTGGTTGAAATAATTGGTCATAAAAACCATTGCACATTGGTTACATTAACCAAATGCAATATAGGTTACATTAACTTATTAAATATTGGTAGATTCAACCAATATTAATATTGGTAATTTTAACCATAATGAATTTGGTAAAAAAAATGACCAAATTTTAATTGGTTGTCCTGGTTGCATCCAGGAGAACCTTTTTTTTGTTGTTTCAACCATTCATTTTTTACAGTGCATGGATTCTTAATAGCAGCAGGCACTAAGCAAGTTGAACAGTTAAATACAGAAGCGTAGCTAGAAATTTAATTGAATGAATTGAATTGAATTGAATTGAGAGAGATTATTTATTAGAACTCTTGTTTCTACGGAATATGTAAACATGAATATACGGCCCTGGATAACTTAAATCAAACAAAATTTAGCGAGTTATTATATGATGATAAAAAATTATAAAAATTTTTTTCAAAAACACTGCATGACGTACGTATATAACAAAAAGGCGACTGTACCGCTATTTAACGTGTTTCCATCCATGATCATAGCGTCACATTCAACTTCACCTTCATTGCTTAAAAATGATCCGTAACCAGCATTAAAAAGCTCGCTATCTTCCAAAACTCGAACTGCCGCTTCTACTGCATCAACTGCTGTTCCGCCACCCTGTTATAAATAGTATATACTTTTCGTGATACCTTGGCAAGAAATCCTGGACCCGTATCTAATCCATATAATTTGCGCATCAGCTCAAATATACAATTGCAGCACTAAATTATTTAGCACATTCTTGGCTTTTTTAAAATTTCAGAAAATCATCGCACGTTTGCAATTTTGCTTTTTTCTTTTAATTCATGGTGAATTGAAGCGCGTGGAGTAATATTTGGCTGGTATGCGTTTTATGCCGTATTCAACGTGATAAATGACTAATAAATATCACTGATCAAAAATTTTGAAATACCACGTAATATTTTTTACCTTCGACGACAGAGGAATATATACAATACAATAAAAACTTACTGTCAAAACATGATATCCTGTTTTGGCCGACCTCTTGATTATCCCCATAAATTCTGGTTCCTTGATATCATCCCACAAAAGCTGCCTATACGCACCTCCCTGAACAATGATCTGCGGGCTTAATTTCCTATATGCAAAAGATTTCGAAAGATTTAAACTGTTTTAAAAAAAAAATTCGCTTCGTGTTGCCAAATCGCGTCCCCAGTCTTTATAATTTAACACGCAGGATTGTAGCATGTTTTACACTATTCGAATCAGAAAGAGCCCTTAGGGCAAGTATATTTTTTGTATTCTATATCTATCTCTTTTATCAGTTAGGTAGTCTTAGTTAGGTAAGCTAGATTAGCGTTGGTGAGACAAAGGCGGCTAGATAGTCCCATACAGGGGCAAAAACCTGAGGCACGAGCTTGAGCCAGACTGACAATATGATGGGCTGTCTATACATGCATGAGTCCGGTTTCCCGCGGGATTTAACATAGAGTAAAATTATTTTGAGCTATTAAAATAAGTGAATAGCATAATCCTAGCAGTCGAGTAGTTACAGTTTGTTACAACTCAGTTAATACCTCAGTCGAAAGCTCTATAAAAAAACAATATATATATATATACACTGTAAAAAATGAATGGTTGAAACAACCAAAAAAAAAAGGTTCTCCTGGATGCAACCAGGACAACCAATTAAAATTTGGTTATTTTTTTACCAAATTCGTTTTGGTTAAAATTACCAATATTAATATTGGTTGAATCTACCAATATTTAATAGGTTGATGTAACCTATATTGAATTTGGTTAATGTAACCAATGTGCAATGGTTTTTTTGACCAATTATTTCAACCAATTAAGGATTGGTTAAATTATCCTGAAATTCAGAGCACTTCAAATCAAATTTTGTCAAAACACACATATGTATTATAAAAGATCTAATATAATAAATAAATTATCCTAATGGTTATTTGCATTTATACATATATACAAAGTACTACATTCAAACACTTATCTTACTAGGATTCATCTATCTATACTTAAGTCATTTCCAGGTTCTCAAAGCTGCGGTAAAAAGTTTTTAACTCCAATTGGAATGTTCGTTTTTCCGTTTGTTTGTAGTAATATCTGGTCCAGAAGAAGGAACACATTCTTTGTCTACCCACCTCCATCTTTAGGGTTCTCTGCGTTGGATACATACAATGCAGTCAGCAAACACACAACAGCATTTAAGATGGAAAACTGCTTAAACTTTATTGCTACCATGCCTTCAGCCAAAAGGTCCAGTGAATGGATGTAACCAAGAGATCCAGTTAATAGCAACTTCGGGAATGTTCTTTTTTTACAATGGTCTAAATTTCAACACCACTGTCATCCTAAAATAAAAGTTAAAAATTATAAAACTTTATATTCCTAAGCTTGGAAATAAAACATTTACATATGGCAAAAATCCTGGGACACAAAAGAGCAAGACCCTACACATGACAAGCAGCCACTTGAGCATATTTTTAGTTCTTATGGAGTAACTCTTGAACTATAGTTTAATATTTACAGGGACAATTTCCCAAAATAATTGTCCAGGTCTTTCTCTGCCTCAACTGATGCAGCGGGGCAGTGTAGATGCAATGGTTTTCAATTTCTATTAAATAAGTTTGATTACAAGATTCAGCAGGCAACATAATAAATGTGATTTGCATAGTTCAACATTGTATATTATATACATATATATCTGTAGATACCTTTTTCTAGTTCGGGTGACAATCCTCTAATAGACCAATAATGTGTTGGACATCTTTGTTCTTGTTCTTTTCCAGAACAGCCAGCATTGATGGCTTCTTTGAATCAATGTTTGGGCATCTTAACCATGTGCATCGAAATGATGCTCTACACACAGAAAAAGTAAAAGTCAACAATTAGATAAACCAAGATATGTATATAAGATATATTAACTTCCACAAATAGTTACTAACAATTACTACTTACCACATATACTCTTAACTTTCTCTGGGTCGAGTTGGGGTTTTGCATCCTTTTCTTTAAAGGCATAATTTGAAAGTTTCCCAGGGATGGAATGAGAGCAAAGTTGTTCTTGCATCCTTGACATGCCCATAATTGCATAAACCAAATTTTGACCTTTGGTTAATATGTTTGGATATAAGAAAATCTGTAAATTTTAACAGTAAATATGAAATTTAAACATTTGACACCTTATTCATTCTTAGCATGATGCCATGATATAGCTATAGAATTTATAAATGTACTGCAAAAGCATTGACAGAAATAGTTGTAATGGCCCTATTTATAATGATATAAATAAAAGGTATATTATATTATCTATATGATTCACCAGAAGTAGGATTTACAGTTGTTGAGTTTTGACAGCATAAATACAATAATACTTGCCATTTCTGATTCAGCATCAGAATTTGAGGATTTCTGATTCAGCATCAGAATTTGAGGATTTCTGATTCAGCATCAGTCACAAGAATCTTGCACTTAAAGGTGATCTTGAAGCCTTGATGGAGTGAATAAAGTAATCTTTTATTAAATGACTCAGTGCATGGTTATATATAGAGGGCATTTCATATTTAATTAATACTAGTAGGCATGTGACAGCTAGACAAAGTTTTGAAAAAGTGTCCAGCAGCCATACAAAGTCTGATCTGAAAAAATAGTCAATATTTTAAATATAAACATATACTATATACAAACACACTCACCACTGAATTATAATACTTTAGCTGTACACATGTTGTTGTTGAAATTGTAGATAGTTGAATGGAACCTTTGATTATTTTCTTATCAACTTTAGAAATTCCACATGGCCATGACACAATTACTTCTTCCTCGCGATCACAGTCACTATTCACAAATAATCCGGATCTCCTCGCATATTAATCCAGCGTGTTTCACCAATTTCGCATGACTACTCATTGACAAATTCAAATAACGCGTATTTTATGTTAAAATACGAAAGAAAAACTCACTAAATTCTACTATAAAACCTTGAACCGATGACAAAGAGTCAAAGACGCGCTCAAAATTTGAAAATAACGCGTGTCGGTTATACAAGTCCCACATAACCTTGCGGTCCTCTTTGGGCAAAACGCCCGCCACGTAACCTGCGAACAGGTATATTATGAAGACAGTTTACAGATACATGCATGTGTGATTTGTCCTTACAAAACGAGTGATTTTTGCTGAGAAATTTAATTTTAAGATTTAATATTCTATAGGATTTGTAAATTCTATAGGATTTGTGAATTCTATAGAATACGGCAATGGAATTCTATATAGCATAAGATCATAAGAAGTCCTATAGAATATTCTATAGCCATAGGATTTAGAATGTGCTATAGCATTCTAGCATATTTTATTGGATTCAATAGAACATAGAACCAGAAGTCTACAAATATACCCCATTGACCACAAAGAGTAATTGGTAAATTTAACCAAATTTTATTTGTTGCTACTAAATATATTTGGTTGTTTTTACCAATATGAGCTTTCATATCCATTTTACCAATTTTTTATTGGTTATTTCTACCATTTTAATTTGGTTTTAACCAATTTAATTGGTTGAAACAACCATTTTAAATGGTTGCAACCTTTTTTTTTGGTCATTTCAACCATTCAGTTTTTACAGTGTATATATATATATATATATATATATATATATATATATATATATATATATATATATATATATACAGTCGTTATCACTAAGGTGGTCACCTTTGTATTATCACTATATTGTATTATTATTATAAACGTTAGCAATAGACATAAAAAGAAAACATAATAAGATAAAGGCCTTTATTTCATTTTCCGAGCTAAGTTCCGTCTGTGTTTTAACGACAAGAAAATTTACAAATAAGAAAGTAAAAAACTGCCGCAACTCGCAAGTTTATCGATATGTAAGCAAACCAAAATATAAACAATGTTTATTGAATACTGATCAGATCGCAAACTTCCGGTTCACCTTACTAACTCTCCACTTACGTTTGGATTTAAAAATTAACGAATAGTTTTTCAGAATTCATATAAGCGAATAATTATTTACTTACTTCTTGCTTGTTGACAGTATAATTTCAGCCATATCAGCAACATCTCCCAGAATCCAAATAAAAATTTACGACGCTGTGAAATCTGTGAAAGTACGTCGTCAACAAAGTAACGACGCACTTGTTTTGCGGTATATTTATGCGCAGTCAGTAAAAATTGGAGAGTTTACTTCCGGTCAGCCGAGTCGTCAGCGCGCGTTGTCGCATCTTAAGCTCGCCTATTTTTCAAATACGACTATCTAGAGTGAGCAGAATAACTGTTTTATTATATACATGCACAAGCGCTGAATAAAACCTATCGTACGTTGAATACTTTTGTTTCAAAGTTTGTTGCCCTTTCGGTGCACTTTGGTATACTTTTATCAAAGAAACCTTGACTTTCATCGTCGCTTGTCTCCCCAGATCTTGCCGCGATTTTTTTACGTTTCTCTACTAGACAGATATGAGTAAATATCTGTCTAGTAAATAACCAATCAGCTTGCCTGTTAGCTCATATCCAGCGCTTGTGTATATAATAATACATGGTATACAAGACAAGTTCACGGAGCTATAACCTGAGATATCACTAAAACTGTCCACATGCATTTGACCTCTCTGATGTTAAAGGAGCTGTACACATAGGTACATTGAGGACTATTTTAAAACAAAATCCACCATGGTGAAGTGCACTTTACCTTATCTTTACAGCTTCTGCTTTTTCTTCAACTTCTTCAATATTCTCAATGCCAACCACCAATCCCTCCGTTTCTACTCCGATATCTGAGAATTCTCTCTCTAAACGTTCCTTTATTTTTCCAGATTTATATTCTTCTAAAACCTCGAGAAATCTTTCGTCCGTGAAGCAATGCAGTAAAACATGTAGACTTCCCGGCTCAATTTCCCCCATTTGTTGATCTGGTCTATCACCACCAAGACTTTCATTTACAGCTGCACTGAATTCCGGTTCTCTTGACGTAACATACTTGTATATTCCAAGCATGGCGCCCAGAGAGACCGTCACAACAGAACCTGCCACTAATAGGTCTTTAACCGTTGCTCTTTCAGCGTCGATAGTGAACTTAAAATCACCAACAGAAATTAAAGCACGGGGTCCTTGAACAACCTGAGTTGCCATCTTAAAACTTCCTATTTGGTAAGAAATGAAATTGAAGACTGTGTGTATGTTTGTGCGCAAGACCACCTGCCGTCGGGTCAGGCATATTTGTTTCCCACAAGCTACTGCCATGCATCTGGTTTATATATTTAAAAGCTGGTAACATATGTGTTTCACATTAGAAAGTTTTAGAGCATTCAATGTCTGTAAGCGAATGGCGAACATATAATTTTTTTTAAAATGGTAATTTTACCATTCACTTATATAATGGGAAAAGTTATCAAGCTGAGTATTCCGGGCTCAATACTTCCGAATATTACCTTGAATATTGGCAATATTCTGTCGTATTCCGTGATATTCTGTGGGAATATTGCCTGAATACGGGTCGTATTCCGACCAGAATATCTCGGAATAAGGCACACTTGATATTCTGTATCAGAATATGGCCAGAATATTTTTAAAGTTTTATATGATATATATACATATTCAACATGTCATAATTATCTGTTAAGAACGACACTACTGTATAAGTCTATACGATAGCTGAACGCTATAATGGCTTGCACAGTTTTAAGGTGATAACCTGTAGGCTTCTATATATATATATATTGGTATAGGGGGTTTCCTTTGTCATAAAAGTGTTCAACAAAAGAAGCTATATACCACGTTTAAGAAGGCTATTTACACATAAAAAACTACAAATTTGTTATACAACTTACAGTTTACATGGAAAATTATCCCCAGAGCACAACCGCATACAAATCTAAGCAAGCGATGTAATTTATGCATCACTCAGAAATTTTTTATCATTTGCAAACCCCATGATGTGTACATTAAACAGTAGAACTATAGAAGTGAACTTTCTAACAAATGCAGTCACGGAGAAAAGCTTTTATTAAAGAACGTGTAGCGAACGAGTATAAATAAGACCGAAGTTAGCTGGCGCACTTTAGACCTGACGAGAAAGTACTCGCTAGAGTGCTCTCGAAACAAATTTGTAGTTTTTTACGTGTAAATTGCCTTCTTGAACGTTGTATATATATATATATATTTTGATAAATTTTGATATTAAGCACGCTTAGGCTTGTGCACTCTCGTTATAGTAAATTTTGTATGACAGCTCGCGACTGATTGTCCCGCTCATGTGAATAACACGTGAATGCGTGTTAGTAATAATCCCACATTAGTAATATAATACAATAACATCACATCTTCATATCATGAATAAAATCTCTTTTATGTTTGTGTGTTGGTTTCCTTCCTCCTTTTAAACCAGCCATTGTCCAGTCCCAAGCCTGGAATGAGAAATCGGTGAGGGGAAGGAATATTATTGTATGTAGCTAAAGTAGAATTGATCATGGTAAGCAATAGTGATATGATGTCCTGCTTGTAGCTCCTCATACTATCTCAGTAAATTTAAATTTAAATAAAGCACGCTTGGGCTTGTGCACTCTTGATTTGCTATAACAACCTTTCTAAATTTTGATATTAAGCACGCTTAGGCTTGTGCACTCTCATTATAGTAAATTTTGTATGACAGCTCGCGACTGATTGTCCCGCTCATGTGAATAACACGTGAATGCGTGTTAGTAATAATCCCACATTAGTAATATAATACAATAACATCACATCTTCATATCATGAATAAAATCTCTTTTATGTTTGTGTGTTGGTTTCCTTCCTCCTTTTAAACCAGCCATTGTCCAGTCCCAAGCCTGGAATGAGAAATCGGTGAGGGGAAGGAATATTATTGTATGTAGCTAAAGTGGAATTGATCATGGTAAGCAATAGTGATATGATGTCCTGCTTGTAGCTCCTCATACTATCTCAGTAAATTTAAATTTAAATAAAGCACGCTTGGGCTTGTGCACTCTTGATTTGCTATAACAACCTTTCTAAATTTTGATATTAAGCACGCTTAGGCTTGTGCACTCTCGTTATAGTAAATTTTGTATGACAGCTCGCGACTGATTGTCCCGCTCATGTGAATAACACGTGAATGCGTGTTAGTAATAATCCCACATTAGTAATATAATACAATAACATCACATCTTCATATCATGAATAAAATCTCTTTTATGTTTGTGTGTTGGTTTCCTTCCTCCTTTTAAACCAGCCATTGTCCAGTCCCAAGCCTGGAATGAGAAATCGGTGAGGGGAAGGAATATTATTGTATGTAGCTAAAGTGGAATTGATCATGGTAAGCAATAGTGATATGATGTCCTGCTTGTAGCTCCTCATACTATCTCAGTAAATTTAAATTTATATATATAATATATATTATATATATATATATATATATATATATATATATATATATATATATTATATATATCTAAAGGTTCTAAAATAACACGCAGGTAGTATTACTAATACCGCAAAAGATCTCTCCGGGATCTCTAGGTAACAAAGAACAAAACGCCGCAAAAAGGCAAACTGCGGTCTCCTTAGCATATTGAACAGCGTGAGTTTAATATCGTTTTTTTTTAATCAGCTAATGAATATTAAGTCCCGTTTACATTGCATGCAGTGTCGATGGAGAGTCTGTCTGTCTGTCAATTCCGTTTAAGATATAAGCTTGAGCCATAAATAAAAGCTTCACTAGCTAAGTTTTAATTAATTGTGTGTGATATATAGTTAAGTGCATGTTTCTGGCCTATAAACAAGCCCTAAAGGGCATAGTACAAAATATGGACTGGACTGGACTGGACTGGACTGGACCGGTCCATATTTTGTTTCTCTGGACTCAAAATATGATTCACATCGCCTAGCTGGCATTTTTGTTTACGATTGGAGAAGTAAGATTGCATTAATGACAAGGCATTTCCAGTTATACCACACAGCACTAATTTATGCAATAATATATCATGGTTAACCGTGTCAAATGCCTTTTTAAGTCTAAAAACACAACCAGGTTGAACAACTGACGATCCATATTCACATACCAGCTGTTTCTACTGTCAAAAAGTGCCGAAGTTGTCGAATGATATTCACGATATCCCAGGGGCGGATCTAGGATTTTTTTACGTTAGTCAAAATTTTCGTAGGCCAATTTTCGTCACCAATCGTCCTCCCCCTGCCAGATTTATGAAATTTGTGAGGCTTTCCAAGCTTAATGCCAGGTTATAGTCTGCTAAATTCCTAGGGCACAGCTATTGAATGCCACACAAAACATTGTGTAGGCACTGAAATGGAAGGTTTAAAAAGGGACGTTTTGTGGGTATAAAATGCATGTTTTATAGCAATAGTCAAATCTCAATAATGGTAGAAATTTACCCCTTCGAACAGATCTCTCAAGAAATTTTCAGCTTAAAATGTTATTGTCTAGTGAAATGTAAGAACACAGGTTTATTACGTTATCATTGAATTTGGTCAAAGCGAAATTGCTTTATATTTATATATTATAATGATTTCGCAAATATCCATAGCTTTCTAAATCTTTCAAACTGCAAATTACAGATTATTACACTAGCTCACAATCTATACAATGCCAGCAAGAAGAATCTGGGTAATGCGAATAATCAATACAACAAATGAGAATATGAATAGGCTCGAAATTCTAAATCGATTTGACGGGCGACGGGCGAATGCAAATATATGCTAATAACAACAGCCTCAAAGCCGGATATCCAAACTGGTGTTTAGAAAGAATCGAGTTTTCTTGCAAATAATCATAAATCTCGGATCATAAAGATTTCTTTCCATTACCTCACTATAATAGCAGGCAAAATAAAAATTGGCCTATAGTTTTCTTGTTGATTTCGGGGACCTTTTTTATGAAAAGTTAGTACTCTAGCTACTTTCCATTCAAGAGGAAAAAAGGTGGTTTCATCATAAATTATTATTTCATTTACACCCAAATGAGTCTTGGATCGTCCCAATAGATTGTTAATTGTTTTCCAAGCTTCTTTGGGATTATTTCTTTGAGTAGCTATTTTAGTGCGGTAATAATTCGACTTTGTGTCACATAAAGAAATATTAACCCTGTTTCTACCACTTTCATAATAATCCCCGGCACTTAGTTATCATGGCTTTCTGTTTACTTTTGTCTTTGTCATAAATAAGGTTTTTTATCTGAGCAATAAGCCATGGAATAGGTGGAGATATTTTTCTGATGTGGTGGATTGGGGCATACTTTTCTAAAATCTCCAGGAATAACTCTTTCCAAAGTTCCCACATACAGTCTCTATTTGTTTGCAAAACAATATTTTCTCAGGGTTGCCTAATATAACTCAGTAACAAGTTGTGATAGTTGATAGAATTCAAGGATACCATTAAGCGTTTTTGAAGGCTGGTTCACATTGTCCTTAATCACATCGCGATTAAGATCACCTAATATATAGGTTTCTTTGTTTTCATTGTCAATTGATCCAAGCAAACTGCCTCAAGATTATCCGGAACCAGATCTTTTCGAACTTTGTCCCCGAGCAAGGGTACCAATTCCGCCCGGGAATGCAAATGCGAAATCAAAGTTACATTACACAGCCAGAAACGCCACAGACTTGCTGCAAGTTGCGGGTTTTACCGGCCTGCTGCAAGTTGTCAACAAGTTGCAGCAAGCTTGTTGACGTCATCAACTTGCAGCAAGCCGGTAAAATCAGGCTTGCTGCAAGTTGACATTTGCAGACTTGATGCAGGTTGATGAAACAAGTTGCATCGAGTCTGCAAATGTCAACTTGCGGCAAGCCTGATGGAACAACTTGCATCAAGTCTGATGAGCGCATCAATGCTGATGCAAGTTGAGAAAAGCAGGCTTGCTGCAAGCTGTCACTTGCAGACTTGATGCAACTTGTTTCATCAACTTGAATCAAGTCTGTCGATATCAAGTTTTAACAGGTCTGATGGAACAACTTGCAGCAAGTCTGTGAGCACATCAATGTTGATGCAAGTTGAGAAAATCAGACTCGAGGCAAGTTGTTATCTACAGGCTTGCTGCAAGTTGTTCAAACAATTTGCAGCATGGTTGTGGCTAACAAGTCCTGACAAGTTTGATAACAACTTGCAGCAAGTCGTTAGAATCAGGCTTGTTGCAACTTGATATTTGCCGTTTGCTATGGCAACTTGATAACAAGTTTATTTGATTTGTTCACAACGAGGTTCACAGTTTATAACAGGTTTGTTTATTGTTCGCTTCGGCCGTGAAAAGCAGTTTCCTCGATTATTTTATTGCTCTACACATGAATATTGTTAATGGAGATTTTTGTATTTTAAATCAAAAAGATTATTTTGCTTTATTTAGCCATACAGCTATTTCTAATCAATAAAATTAGATGAGTTGAAATGGACAGCTGTAGAAAAATTCTCGCAAGTCGCAATAATTAAAAATTTTATAAAAATTGAAATTTAGGAACAACTTGCTGACGTATACTATCGTTACGTTTCTTCAGTTTCTTTAATCTGGCTGGATAAGCGCGTATGCACTCGCCATTAATCCTCTTTGCAATTGGACGAAATATTACAAAGATATTAAACACGTAATCAAGTTCGGTTGTTTCATAGACAATCCAGAAGACACGTGTCTTCTGGATTGTCTATGGTTGTTTTTGTCTCATTTTGAGTCAACAAAATTTCAAGTTTTTAACAAGTGCGAAGTGCGAACTAAAATCCTCGCAAAATCAAATAAAGCGAAGAAGAAAGAAATCTCAAAAGAAGAAAGCTCAAAGCTGGTTTGATTTTTGAAGAAAGTGGCAACGAAAATACATGATTTAAAGCTTAACAAAAAAAATACATGAACGACATCGACATCGTTGATATGAATATGAAATTCGTTACTGAATTTCTTTCCAATTTTAAGAGAAATC